GATCATATGTCCGGTTATTTGCACGTGCACTTAGCTAAATATTGAAAGTATTATTTTTTTCACTGAATTCTTTGTAAATAGCGAAAACTACGATTTTTTGACCAAATATCCTAAAAATAAGTTTACGTCAAGAATTTGGGTAAATAACCGGATATTTACCGATTATTAACCAATTTATCGGATATTTAACCATTAAATAAATAAAAACCGAAAACTCAGTGAGGTCACGCCAATGTCATTTTCTCGTCTGTTTAAGGAACACAACTATTCCGGGCAATATGGCATAGATCTCCAAAAAGTCGGACAATTTATTTAATCTCAAAATCCCAAGAGTGCATAAGACAACCGCACCATGTTGAACACCATTTTTTAGGATTTTTTTTTATTTTTCATTTACGTGAATATTTTATAAATTAATAAAATCTTTTTTTCTTCACCCAAAATTACAACACATGTGCAGTATAGAAAGAATTTGAAAAAAGGAATATTTTCAAAATCATTACGTAATGATGCATCATCCGAATATTCCAATTGCCCAATGATTGATTGAAATTACGACAGCTTTGGGCTACATTCCGTCAGACATCAATTCCCTAGTTTATGGCATCTAAACCGCTTAAGGTCATTTCATTTGCAACTCATTTGCATTTTGAAATTTCTTAAGGCATTCTCAGGCAGTAAATCTAAATATTCCTGTAGGGAAATTTTCGTCTTCTTCTGTCCCTATTTTTTACCAAAAAAAAAAAAACTATAAGAAAATAGAAAACTAACCCCTTTATCATTTGTGGGACTTAACAATGCAATCCTTTCACCGCTAAGCATTGTTTTGGTATGTAAGTCACGGACAGAATGGAATAGACAACCCCAGACTCAGAGGTAGGCAGGCTTAGGGTAGGATGCCGTGTGCTCGTGTCTGTCCCTTACGAGGTAGGCAGGCAAACTTTGTCTGTCACATAGAGAAGATCATCGTTCATCAGTCTTTGGCTACGTCTTGTTAGCATTTGCATTCTCATTTGCATAAAAAGGAGTCCCAATGTGAAAGGAGGATAGAAGGAAGAAAAGAAAAGTGTGTGTGTTGATGATGAGATCTTTTGTCGCCTGGGAAACAATGCCTTGGTTTCTTATCTGCATCGCCATCGACCTATCGATCGGCCTCGATTGTTTTATGACTGGCATCAATATTTAATGAACAAATATAATAAAGTTATTAATTGACACTTAACAAACAATCAGGACAAACAATTGCATCTCAGATTTGTAATCGACCAGACAATTCGATTTTAAATCGTTGAATATTCCTTGAATTGAGGTTTTGTTTTTCTTCTTATTATTATTTTGATATGGATATTATTATGGAAATGAAATCGATATCAAGCTGCAGACATAAGAAACAGTATAATCTCATTTCTAATTATACTGTTAGCCATATGGCTACCCTCTCTGGTCATATTATTTGATACGGTCAAAACGTGCCTATGCCCTATGTCTCTTTGGACCAAATTCGTTTCTGGACATTTGGAGTCGATCTAGCGATGTCCGTCCGTCTGTCTGTCTGGCTGGCCGGTGCACACGACAACTCTCGAGGGGAGTATCCGATTTGGTTCAAACTTGTTACAGCGCAATATTATTATCAAACTTAGATCGAGTTCGGAGATGGGCAATATCTGTACTCTCCTTATGGTTCCTCCCAGAAGGGGGGCACACGACAACTCTCGAAGCAGTTATCGGATTTGGTACAAACTTGGTACATCGTAATATTATAATCAAACTTAGATCGAGTTCAGCGATGGGCAATGTCGGTACAGTCCTTCTGGTACCTCCCCCATAAAAGGTCGACATTTTCAAAAAATGTTGTACTGCACAGAAAGTGAAAGGATAATCCGATAAATAACCGAAACGGTTATAAAGTTCGAAATAAGCATCCGGTTCTCTTCATGTTTCACACATCCCATTAACACAAGATCTGCTGTGAAGATGGGGTATATCGGTACACCTCTTTCTGTTACCTTCCCACAAAGGGCAAAATCTTGGTACATCTCTATATTTCCATCAACACAAGATCTGTTATAAAGATGGTAGAGATCGGGCCATTTCTTCTGTTACCTGTTTTGAATAACCAAAACAATTATAAAATGCGAAATAATCATCCGGCTCTCTTCATATTACACACATCCCATTATTTCTACTAACACAGGATCTAATGTACCTTTCTTCAGTTACCTCCCCCACAAAGTGTCAACATTTTGAATAACCAAGAAACTCATAAAACACGAAATTAACATCCGGATCCATTCAAACTTGGTGCATCTCAATATTTCCATCAGCACAACATATGTTATAAATACGGTAGATATCGGACCATTCCTTCAGGTACCTCCCCCACATAGGGTTCAAGATTTTGAAAAACAAAATCGAGCATTTTGCGAAATAAGCATCCAACTCTCTTCATATTTCACACATACAAACATATTTGCTAACACAAGATCTGTTGAGAAGATGATATATATCTGCGAACCCCTCCTGGTACCTCACCCACAAGGGGTCACAATTTTCAATACTTTTATCGTGTCATAACTTGCGAAACAAGTCAACGATTCTTTACCACTTGCTATATCTAAATATTTCTCTCAACCAGAAACCTAAGATGAATATGGAATTTATCGGAATTTATGATTTCGCATAAAATTGAATATAAATCTTCGGTTTTCGTGTAATTTTAGCTCATACCAATATTATTTCACACCTTTTAACATTTTCTAAAAATTATCACATATTTCATATGAAGTGAAGGAAGCAAACTAAATAGCCCAAACCTGGCACGTCGCAACATTTATATTGTTTTTATTTAGATCTGATACGTAATGGAAAATTTTGGCCCATTCCTTCGTAATCTTCAAATAAAGAAATAATACCACAGTGTGGTGTAGGGCGAGTACTAATATAATTTTCAACCCTATCCTAGCTTAACAATGGTATTTACGATATGACGACATGCTATTTTCAATGTTTCAAGCGACATCTAGTGAAACATAACAACTTTATGACTAGCATTTATATATTTGTTACTGGATTTGACGCCATCTTGTGGTGGATAGAAGCATTAAGGTGAGCATTGCCATGCCTTAATCAATGTCCAACGGAAAATATTTCTCCAATTAGTTTTAGCCGATGACATGATTTTTCTCCTCCACCATTCCATAATAAAGTCTTACAAATATTTTATATTTTTTATATTTTATTATATTTTTCACTTCTCTTTTATACATCCTAAAAGACGTAAAGATTAAAAATATTTGGTTGATATATACAAGGAAGAAATACAAAATATAAATTTGACAATGAAGGGACATAAAATTACCTTTGTAATTGCACTATGACTTCTACCTTCCAATAATTCAACTATGATTTTAAGAATATTTTTTTAGTTTTTACTCTGTTCCAGAACTTGCAAAAATCGACTAGATTTTGTTTTCAATGAAGTTAAATGTGACAAGGCAAGTTACAGAAAAATGCATGGCTGTATATTATTATTTAAAGTGAGCTTACCTTGATTTATTTGTACCATGATTTTTATATTCTCAAATTGAAAATTATTTTTGTCGATAAACTAAATAAATCCCTTTTTTGTGGTTTTGGTTTCTCCAAAATTCTTACCCGTACATAAGAAGCTTACCTTAAGGTGAGCATACATAAAACACCTTTTTTGACTACTTGACATCTTCTAAATTGAGAAAAATGACACTACATATTTAAAAAAATGTCATATCTTATCAGACAAACTTCGAAAAAATAAATTACTACATTTATAAAAGCAAAATGAAAAAAAATATAATTATGAATTAAAATTCTAAAAGTGAAAATACATAAAACGCTTTTTTGACTGGCTTATAAGAAAATATACAAAAAATTACTTATTTTTTCAAAACATTTAAAATGTTTGACATATCATTGGTCCCAGTACCTGTATTCTACCATGGAAGGGCAGAATGTTTAAATTTGAAAAACACAACCCTTAAGCTAGAATCTTATAACTTAAATTTTTTCAATAATAAATTCAACAAGCTGTTTTTTATTTGACACAATATTTTTATTTGAGAGAAAATCGCGAAAAATATATGGAGAGACGAGGATTTTTCACAATATCGTGTTTCTAAGACGATTACAGCCATGGTACAATAAGGAGGTAAAACAGCTTCGTTAAACTACAGAAATACAGCCCTGAGGCTATGTCCGCTTCCTGTCAGACTCATTCAAAATTATATGCAACAAGTTGTTTTCATTTTTCATTTTTTCCCCATTTTTTAAATGAGTTAAATAGCGCAAAAAATAAATGAAATACTTGGATTTTCCCTCAAAAATATGATCCAAACTGTTCAATCTTTTAATTTCATTGCTAAACTGGTTAATAGCTTTAATGCACAAGCAATCTACGTGTTTTCCAATCATTGGTTTTAAAAATATTTTGTTTTAATTTTTTCATAACAATAAATACATACATACAGAAGTTGGGCACACTTACAAAAAAATTGTAATCTGCTGGTAGCTCTATCTTATGCCATGTTTACGTTAGAACTTTTTATAGGGTTAACCTACTTTGAGAGGATTTACTTGAAGTAAAAGTAATGGATATGACAATTTAAATCCAAATCCAGTGGGTTAACCCTCATATATATAAACGTACTATTATGTTTTTATTGTACCATGATCATTTTCATGCATAATGCAAAAATATAGTCTCCCCAGAAGTTGTAAATATGAATTAAAATATCATCAGAATTTTGAAAATAATACATACACATACAAAAACTGCATACATGTTTTGACATTACGAGATTACCAAAGAAAACTTGAATTCAGGTGATTGTTATGCCCTACCTTGGCTTCATTGTACCCGAGTGTAATAGATCTTATCTTGCCCCACTGTATTTCTTGCCACCATTTGTGATTGTTTACAACAACAGCTGTTAATTGTTTTTCTTTGCCATATATAGCCAATCTGGCAACACTGCATCAACAACTCGCATGAAAATAAACACGTACACACACGACGACAACAGAGCACCACAAAATACCAGAATCGAGATAAAACTTTGTGAAAATAAATGAAAGTGTTTGGCAATTTAGGTGAATAGTGAATAAGTGAATGTTACTGAAGCCATTCTCGGCGGTGGCAGGTCAAAACAGAAGTTGAAGTTTTCAAATTGCAAGCAAGTGTGACCAAGGAAAAAAACAGACTGACGTGTTTTTCATACGATTTTTGTGCTCTCAAACGCTCGCTTACGACGGATTGATTGGTCTGTGAGGGGGTGTATATTGTTTGTTGTGACTTGACATTGTAGTGCACCGCCTTCCACCAGTTTCAATACTTTCTCTTGGCCGCTTAAAAGCCGATTCTGCGGTCAATGTTGTGACCGCCAAGGACACAGAACAAACTGTTGAAATCTAGTCTGGTAACTGAACTTGACACCAGCTATGGCTTTGTGGCCCTGCATTGCCAATAGAATTCCGTTATTTGTGGTATTGCTTCTCGTGTGCCTCTATGGAACACATTTGTCTTGTGGATATTTCACCTCATATGTTCCCGATGAAAATAACAAGAATTGTTTCTGTGAGGTAAGTTGGGAATGCAATTGGCCGATTCGATTTATTGATTAAATGCATTTAATTATAGTTGGAAGGCTCCATAAATGATTGCGGTTGTGAGGTGGACACTGTGGATCATTTTAATAACATAAAAATCTATCCACGCCTAAAGAGCCTGTTGGTGAAAAATTATTTCCGCTTTTTCAAAGTCAACTTAAATCGGGACTGTCCATTTTGGCCTGATGACAGCAAGTGTGCAATGCGTTTCTGCCAAGTGGAAAATTGTGAAGAACAAACAATACCACCTGGTTTGATGGAGCATGGAGATAATCATCCATTTATGAAACCCACTGCCTACAAGGTATGTAAAAATGGTATTGAACATTTGTATGTTCGCTTATTGCTACATCCTGTTGACTATGTCATCAGCTTAATTATTAGCAACATACATATGCACGTAGATACGTATGGCATTAACAGTACAATAATTAAGTTAATATTTGTACAATAGTTTTTCCTGAACATTCTCATTTGTGTTGTGGGCGTTTAGCATTTCTACGGCCATCAATAACACGTAGACCCTTTTTTTGTTTGAAAAATGATTATGTTGATTTGCTAGCGTGGCTTAAATTTTATTTTTAATTTATCTTCACTTTATATAATGTTTTTGCTTTGAGTACTTGTTATCTATTGGCGATACTTTTCCCTCATCGATTTCTAAATGTATTGCGGTTGGTTGTTGCCTTATCAATTGTCTTTTACTTGTACATACGATCTGTGATTGATTTATTGGGTTATATTAACTAGAATAACCACTGTTGGAAACTTAATCGATATGCAATGCAATATGATATTATTAGGTAGGCATTAATGGTATTAAATTATTATTAAAATAAACATTGGATGATATACATTGTATAGTTTAGATGGATAAGTAAAACAATATTCAATTCCCTTATACCAGTGTCTTGCAATTTCAAGCATATATGTCATTCACTGAATCTCACAAATAATGCTCTAAAATATTCCCAGCTATCCCACCAAAAGATTTATATCGATGCCAATTCTCCTAGAGGGAGAGAATTTCGTTGCAATCTCTTTAAAACATTTGCAGAAACTATAACTATTTAAAAACAGTTAGTAGATATATGTTTTGAATTTGTGGTAGGTATTATGTAGGCTTGTTGGGTATAATCCCAAGCTATAGTAATGAATTGAATTTCCCTCTCAAATTGATAGATTTCTTGACTTTGTTTTTATACCCTCCACCATAGTATGGAGGATATATTTAGTTTGTCATTTCGCTTGTAACACCTCGAAATATGCATTTGGACCCTACAAAGTATATATATTCTTGATCAGCAAAAATTTTATATCGACTTGGCGATGTCCCTCCGTCTGTGGAAATCACTCTAGCTTCCGAACGAAATGAAGTAGGTTGATAACATTTTACTCAAATGTATATTATGTCTTCAGGACTTTTAGTATTGAAAATGGGCCATGTAGGTTCACGTTTTGGTATAGCCCCCATATAACGACACCTCCCGATATTCGGTATTTTGGTGATTTAAGCGACATTATTCCCCGGAATTGTTTCAAATTTGGTATTTGAAGTTCGTAATGAATATTACAGTCTAAGACAGAAAATTGTTTGTGCAGGTCCACGTCTTCGTACAGCCCCCATATAACAGTACCTCCCGATATTTGGTATTTTGATGATTTTAGCGACATTATTCACCGGAATTATTTCAAATTTGATATTTAATGTTCGCAATGGATACTACAGCCAATGACAGAAAATTGTCTGTGCAGGTCCACGCCTTCGTATAGCCCCCACATAATGGTACCTTCCCTATATTCGGTATTTTGATGATTTTAGCTACATTATTCACCGGACTTGGTAATTTGGTAATTGAAGTTCGTAATGGATACTACAGCCTATGACAGAAAATTGTCTGTGCAGATCCACGCCGTCGTATGGCCCCCACATAACGGCCGCTCCCGATATTCGGTATTTTGATTATTTTAGCGGCTTTATTCATAGGAATTGTTTCAAATTTGGTATTTGAAGTTCGTAATGGATACTACAGCCTAGGACAGAAAATTGTCTGTGCAGGTCCACGCCTTCGTATAGCCCCCATATAATGGTACCTATTCAGTATTTTGATGATTTTAGCGACATTATTTACCGGAATTGTTTCAAATTTGGTATTTGAAGTTCGCAATGGATACTACAGCCTATGAAACTAAATTGTCTGTGCAGGTCCACGTTTTGGGATAGCCCCCATATAACGGTACCTCCCTATATTCGGCATTTTAATGATTTTAGCGAGATTATTCACCGATTTTTTCGCATTTGAATATCGTAATGGCTTATGACAATAGTTGCCTATGCACATCCACGTCGCCATATAGACCCTAATATAACATTCGATATTTTTAAGATTTTAGCAAAATATTTTTTTTTTGAAAATTGCCAAATTCTTTCCAAATGGTGGAGGGTATTTAAGGTTCGGTATTCTGACAAAATTATGGCATTATGTAATTAGCGCAAATTTTAGGAATTTGTAAGGTTCTTGCCAGATTTTTCGTTATAATGGTCCTGTTTTCAAGAACCCTGAAATTGGATGAAATCGTTTCAATTTCTTTTTTGTACAGAGTTGACGTTCTCTAGGAGACCCTGCATACGAAATTTTAACTAATTTTATTAAAATATCTTAAATATGGAGATAGAGGTGTACATATAAAACGTGGAGCGATATGTCCCATTTTCAAGCCCATAAAAATCTCTATTACTTCTATGTGCTACAAATGGAATATAATCTCATTTCCATGCATTGTGGAGGGTATAAAACGCATATTAAAGGAAATAGGAGGACTAACTCACCTATAACTTTGCATATGAACATTTTGTTTTAAATCCTCCAACAACACTTCTGTTGGTTCGCGCAATAACAAAAGGTAACTTATAATAATGGTTCCATGCCTACTATAAAAAGATCGAACATTTGCGCAATAATGGTGTTTTCAGTTTGACGCAAAGTTAAATAGAAATAAGTATCAACAAACAGAAACAACTGTGCTAATAAATATCTGTTAGTTTCACATAACATTCTCATGCTATTCACTGCAACTGAAAGCACTTTATTTATTTTATTTATTATTCAAATTCAATTTTCCTTTGTTTTCGAATTCCTTTACAGTATTCTGAAGCCGCACAACATGCAGATTGTTCCGATGCCGATGATTTTAGCAGCGTCCTTGGCATTATTGATACCAGCATCAGTGATCAGGCCCACAAAGAATTTGAACTATGGGCGAAACATGATCAGGCCGAAGAAGACTTTTGTATTATAGATGAAAATGATGAGGGTAGTCAATATGTGGATTTACTATTGAATCCAGAACGTTATACTGGCTATAAAGGAGAATCGGCTCATCGTGTTTGGAAGAGCATTTATTTGGAAAATTGTTTTGGTGTACAAAATCGCAGCAATACATTTTCCGAGTATTTGGCTCAAATTGATTTACACAAAATGTGTTTGGAACAACGTGCCTTTTATCGTATTATTTCCGGCTTACACAGCAGTATTAATATCCATTTATGCTCAAAATATTTATTATCGGAAACCAAGGATTTCCTATCACCACAAGGTGTATGGGGTCATAATATACAAGAGTTCAAACGTAGATTTAGTCCGGAGACAACGAATGGTGAAGGACCGCATTGGTTAAGAAATCTATACTTTATCTATTTGGTGGAACTTAAAGCTTTGGCCAAGGCGGCACCATACCTTAGAAGAGAGAACTTTTACACTGGCATTGTGGAAGAAGATCAAGAGACCAAAATGGCAATTAATGATTTACTATCTGTTGTAGAGTGAGTAAAATGGGAAGTCAAACTTGAAAAAAAATTAATAACTTATTTATTCTTATTTTAGATCATTCCCAAATCATTTTGATGAGAATGCCTTGTTTTCTCACAGCCCTCAGGGTGTGCGTTTTAAATATGAATTTAAGGAGAAATTTAGAAATATTTCTCGCATTATGGATTGTGTTGGTTGTGATAAATGTAAATTGTGGGGCAAATTACAGGTAAGAAAATTATTATTTAAAGATTTAATTTAAAGAAAACAAGTTAAAAAGTATCAATCGGTTTTGCCGACAAATGTACAGGGTGAGATAAAAAACTGCAACAAAGTCAAACGTTATAATTTTTACATTTTTTTTAAATGTTATTGAATGAAAACAAAAAATTTAAATTTGTTCGAATTGGTCCCTTGGGCACGAATTATGGCCTTCAAACGGCCAATGAAACCGTCGCACGCTGTCCGAATGTTGCTCTGCGGTAATTTGGCTCATTCCCGGCGAAGCGCTTGCTTGAGGTGATCGACACTTTGGTATTTATTAGTGCCAACCTTGCTTTCCAAAATACTCCAGACACAATAGTCCAACGGATTGGTATCCGGAGATTTTGGTGGCCATTGTGCGCTGAAAATGAAGCGAGAAACCTCATTTTGTAACCATTCTTGGGTGGCGCGTGCTGACTGCGATGGTGCTGAGTCCTGTTGGAATGTCCAAGCTCTGCTCCCAAAATGTTTACGTGCCCAAGGCTTTAATACACCCTCCAGAATATTTTCGCGATAATATTCGGCATTTATTCGGATGCCACGTCGATTAATACGAGCGGAGAATGACCATCGCTTGTTATGGCGGCCCACACCATCACCATGGCCGGCGTATGAGTTCTGGTCTTGTTCTGGCCAACCGAAGGTGCACAGTTTCAGCTGACCTCTTTGGCAAGTAAACACGATAATTTTGTTTGTTTACAAACAGCTGGACAACGAATGTTTTCTCATCGGAAAAAACCAAATTCGGCAGTTCACCACTTTCGGCCAAGCGATGCAACTCTTCAACTCTTTTGAGTCCATTTTCTCTCTGCTGCGGTGTAAGTTCTTGCACTTTTTGGAATTTCAATGGCTTTACCCCTAGTTCATTTTTCAATATTTGCCAAATGAAATATTGCGATATGTTCAGCTCGCGAGGCATTTTTCGGCCACTGTGACGCGGGTCGCTTCTTTACTTTTCGAACCATTTCTGCTGACGTTGCTGTTTTCTTTCGTCCACTTCCTTGACGTCGGGCTACCAGTATCACGGTAACGAGCGACGATATGAGACACAAAAGATTTATTCACATTTTAATGCTGGAGTGCTCTAACGATAGCCACTTGTGGTTTTCCAGCCAAATATAAAGAAATCACACTATCACGCTTGAATTCCATAACGAACAACTTTTTCTGGAAAATTCTAACAAAAAATGCTTTTGTATGCTTGTAAACAATATAATGAGCTGTCATTACAATAATTTTAACAGCTGTCGGACGAGTGGCTTTGAAATGACAGCTGTCTGAAGTTGGTTGCAGTTTTTATAATCTCACCATGTATAACAATAATTCCAATAACTTATTCGTTTTATTTTTGCAGACTCAGGGTTTGGGTACAGCTTTAAAAATATTGTATTCAGAAAAATTGAATATTGCCACCGAAAGCGGACTATGGGAGAAACCACACATTGAAATTGATCCCATCTTTAGGCTGAAACGTAGCGAAATTGTTGCATTGTTTAACGCATTTGGAAGGTACGTATACACATCACTTTTTGTTATTAAAATATTCCATTACCAATTTTTTTTATTTCAGACTCTCTAATAGTATTTACGAAATGGAAAACTTTAGAAAATCCCTTAGATAATAAGAGTTGCAGTGATAGAAAAGACATAACCTTAGCCAAACCAATTCCTTAGGCATAGAATACTTAATTTATATTGACAATTGTTGAGCCGTCGTCGTCCGTTTTAAGTGAAAATAACGTTTTTATGTTTGTTTTATTTTCTGTGAAATCAATTATTGTTATATATTTATTTTACATTACAAAATACGTAAAATTTACCTCTGCCCAAATATCCATCCAATATTACGTAGTGTGGATGTCTAAAGAGCAAAGTAAAAGGTTTCTTCCTTCCAATCTATAGAAGTAATCACTAATCCCTATACTCTGTCCCCAATCCAAAAGATCCCTTCCTTTTTCTACATAAATTAACTTATGAACTACCCTAAACTAAGCTAGACCTTAAGCATATTTATTATTTGTATTTGAATGAACCTTGTAATATATATTTAAAATGTTGTGTGTATTATTTATACAGTTGATATAAGCATAAAAATCATACAGGTGCAATTTTGGAATAAAAGTGTAGAACATTTTCAAAATAAAAAAAGCAAATGTTTTTCTTTTTTTAATAGGCATATTTTGATTATTTTTCTTTGGAAATCAATGGAAAGCATTCAATATTCACATTTTCGAAAAATAATTACTTTTTTCTGCAATTTACCTATTTCCTGAAAAATTCCACAATTGTCTGATGGCAGATGAGATGAATTCACTGGACATTTTTAATAGTACAGCAGCAGTAGGGGAAAACGGGTAGACATTTTAAAACTAGACAAAATATTGTTTTTTCATGCAAAATGAACAAACATGTGAGAAAAAATACTATTTCGGCGGGGGATCACGCTTCAGATCGTTATGGCTCCGGCACCAGCGAATTCTCTAATCATTAAATCCATCTTAGACACATTTATACGCCAGTCCAAGACTCCCCATATCTATATATATATAAACAAGTTAAAAAGTATCAGTCGGTTTTGCCGGCCGATGTATACAATGTTCGATTATTTTAATATATTTTATCTTCTGATACGGAGGAATAGGCCAATATTGTCCATTTCGTATCAGGCCTAAATAAATATGATATAAATATTTTAACAGGCTTGGACTATATTGGTTATTTCCTTCGCTTTATATGAGATATGTGATAATTTTTAAAGAATGTGCGTGGGGTACCAGTTATAGTATTCCATTTTCACACTTCATCTATTACAGATAAAAATATTGGTATGGGCGAACATTTACACACAATTTTCTGCGAAATAAAATAAATCTATATTCATCTCAAGTTTCTAGTCGAGAGAAATATTTAGGTATAGTAAGTTGTGAAGAATAGCTGACTTGTTTCGCAAGTTATGACATATAAAAGTATTGAAAATTGGAACTTTTATGGATGAGGTGGCAGAAGGGGTTCGCAGATATATATATCATCTTCACAACAAATCTTGCATTAGCAAAAATGTTTGTATGTGTGAATTTAAATATTTGAAGAGAGGTGAATGCTTATTTCGTTTTTCAAAATCTTGAACCGTGTGTGGGGGAGGTACCAGAAGGAATGGTTCAATCTCCTCTACCATTTTTATTACAGATCTTGTCTATTTTTTTGTCAAGTCTGAATAGAATCGGATGTTAATTTCACGTTTTGTGAGCTTCATGGATATTGACCGATATATCCCAATTTCACACCAAATGTGGGGTTAATACAATTATTGTGATGTATGTAATTTGAAGGGAACCGGATGCTTATTCTGGATTTTGTGATCGTTTTGGTTGTTCAAAATTTTTATCCTTTGTGGGAGATGGTAAAAAAAGAAATTGTCCGATCTCTGCCGTCTTTATACCAGACTTTTTCTTGATGGAAATATTGAGATGTGCCAAGTCTGAATGGAATCGGATGTTAATTTCATGTTTTATGAGCTTCATGAATATTCAAAATGTTGACCCTTTGTGAAGGAGGTACCAGAAGGAGTGGATCGATATATTTCATCTTCACAGCAAACCTTGGGTTAATAAACATTTATTGATGTGTGTAATTTGAAGACAATCGGACACTTAAATCACATTTTATGAGAGTTATAATTATTCAAAAATTTTACCCTTTTGGACGAGGTACTTGATGGAGTGAACCGATATTGTCCATTTTCGCACCTAAACTAGTACTGGTGCAAATATTAGGATTTGCAAAGTTGGTGCAAAAGCGGATTATCATTTCTCCACGTACGTACGAAAAGTACTGAATGGTACTAAATTTTGGTCTTGGTTGAGGGAATAGGGATAACATTTTGAAATTTGATATTTGGATTCCTCGTGGTATTTGTGTTTAAGATATGTCTATGGATTGGAAAAGCGTCCTATATTTGTACGAAAAATACTAAATGGTACTTAATTTGGTATTGGGTGAAGGGATATTGATATTGAGGTCTCTGGAATTGAGATATATAGGTAGTTTGGAAATGTGTACTATAGTTGTAAGAAAAAACCTAAAGAATAGAGCTGAAATCCTGAATTTGGATGTGGATGTCACTGTTGGTGTCTGTCATTAAGATGTGGAGGTAGCTTTGGAAATGTCTACTATAATTGTTCGGAGAGTACTATTGGTAACTACTATTGGTAACTATTTTGGATCACTGTTGGTGTCTAGGATGGATAGATGTAGATGAAGGGATAGAGCTATAATTTTGAAATTTGATATTGAGGTTACTGTTGGTTTCTAGTGTTTACATATGGAGACGTTGAAAAAGTTTTGGACAGAAAAAAATAGATTTGACTCCATTTTGGTCGAAAATGTATATTTCAAGGTGTTACAAACGGAATGACAAACTTAATATACCCTCCATACTATGGTGGAGAGTGTAAAAATTGCAAATAATAAATATATTATCAGTGACATGAGCATAATTGCCTCTGATGGTTTGATTCTCCTGAAGTATATTTTTAAGTTTATAATACCTTCGAACCAGATTAAGCGCAGTTCGAGGAAGACCTTTAATATCATCTGAAGTCTGAGGTTTGATATTGAGAAAATCTGATTCAAATTTGGCATTTTAATAAGTTACCTACCTTTTTAAGAGAATTTAAAATAATTCATTGTTAGAGAACGGTTAATAAATGTTCATTTTAATGATAAATTCATTATTCTCTAGAAAATCTTATGAATGGGGATATTTTCCGTGTTTTAATTGGCCAAAACTACTGTCACACCAATGGAAAAACTTGACTCAAAGTAAGATAAATTTCTCTTTTTATTCTATGATTATGTTAAATTTTAAAAATACGTTAAAACAATTATACACAAAAAAAAATAAAAACAATTAACGACAGTTTCATACAAAGTTTTTTTTTACTTTTTAAAATTAACATACTTTGTTTGTCCACCCTTGGCTATAATTGTACCATCCGATTTCTTTCTCAGAACACAGTCAATAAAGGCCAGAGATTTGCCAACTTTTAGAGTAGTAGCGTCGACAATTACATCATCAGATTCTTTGGCAGGTGACATATAGCTAACACGTAGATCGACACTGGTCCCCGGATGAGAATCGGTCGACATCAAGGCATAGCTTGTAACATGGTCGACTATTGTGGCAATGAAGCCGCCATGTAAGGTACCAGCGGCATTTAAATGGGACTTTGCAACAAGAAATTCGCCAATACACCGGCCATCTCCGCCGCCAGTTACTTTGAACTGTAAAAAACATTAAATAAATATTTTTTATAATATTTTTTCATAACACACAAGACCATTCACCGTTTATAAAATCTTAATAAATGATAAGCTCATAAAGTAGTTCATCGTTGATTTGTGGGAATCCGCTGCCACATTTTACTATGATGGAACTGAAGCTTATTACATTATTACATTTTAAACAAATACTAGCTAATTTGTTCAATTCTGAATAAATTCACTACTTTTAATTTTTTATTACAGAAAAATTTTTCAATTTCAATTTATATTCGTTTATCCATATTCCCATTAAACGTCATCAAGTCAATCTTAATTTGCACTTTGACCCTTCCAATTTTCAATTTGTTTGCCAAATTTTTCCTTCACTTTTGTAAACAACAATAACAAATGTAAATTAAATTTAATTTTTATTTACCACATTGGTAAGACTATCATGACCTCCAGCCTTTCCATAATATTCTGCAACAGATTTTAAAAACTCCACTCCACGCTTAGCAGACATCCTCAGATAATGTTCGACGTTTTCAATCAAATCAAAACAATAACTAGTCGGTCCAAGAGGAATTATGAGGCGCGTGAATGCTTTCAAAACAAACAAACTAACATCGTACATATGTAGGTGTGTACGCACGAACATAAATAGCTACAAATATAGATAAGAGGTAATGTGTTTGTAGATGTCAGATTTAACGATTTGACATACATAGATATTTCGAACAAGAGGCAAGGCCGAATTTTTTATACACTCCACCAAGAAACATATTCTTATACTCTGGACGGTGATAACAAATTTCATTTCGTTCGGAGACATCATAGCCATGCAAGCTGGCAGCTTTTGTATGTACAGGGTGAGATGAAAAAACTGCGACTTCAGACTGCTGTCATTTATAAGCCACTCGTCCGAAAGCTGTTAAAATTATTCCAGTGACAGCTCATTACATTACAAGCATACAAAAGCATTTTGGTGAGAATTTTCCAGAAAAAAGTCAGTCGTGATGGAATTCAAGCGTGATAGTGTGATTTCTTTATATTTGACTGGAAAACCACAAGTGACTATCGTTAGAGCACTCCAGCTTTTAAATGTGAATAAATCTTTTGTGTTTCGTACCATTGCTCATTACAGTGATACTGGAAGCGTAGCCCGGCGTCAAGGAAGTGGACGGAAGGAAACAGCAACATCAGCAGAAATGGTTCGAAAAGTGAAGAAACGACTTGATCGAAACCCGCGTCGCAGTGGCCGAAAAATGGTTCGTGATGACGATGGCTATGTCGATTTAGCGATGTCCGCCTGTGGAAATCATACTTGCTTCCGAACGAAATGAAGTAGGTCGATAACATTTTACTCAAATGTATATTATTTCTGCATGACTTTTGGTATTGAAAATAGGCCATGTAGGTCCACGTTTTGGTATAGCCCCCATCTAACGGTACCTCCCTATATTTGATATTTTCATGATTTTAGCGACATTTTTCACCGGAATTGTTTCAAATTTGGTATTTGAAGTTCGTAATGGGAGAAAGTTGTCTATATAACAATAACTCCCGATATTCGGTATTTTGATGATTTTATCTACATTATACACCGATTTTTTTTAAGTTTCACATTTGAATATTGTAATGGCTTATGACAAAATTTACCTATGCAAGTTCATGTCGTCGTATAGATCCTAATATAACAGCTACATTCGGTATTTTTAAGATTTTAACAGCATTTTAAACGGATTTTATTGTTTTTGAGAATTGCCAAATTCGTTCTAAATGGTGGAGGGTATTCAAAATGCGGTCCGGCCGAACTTACAGCTTTTTTACTTGTTTGCTTTCATTCAATAAAATTTAAAAAAAATGTAAAAATTATGGCGTTTGACTTTTTGCAGTTATTTTTTATCTCACCCTGTGTATGTATTGTTTTGAATAAAAAACAAAGATAATTTTGAAAATTTTCAAATGCTGTTGTTAAAATTTAAATTCATATTTACAGCTTTTGTAACCAAAAATGTTTGCGTTTTGGGATGAAAAAGAATTGTAATCGTATTAGAAACTTGACATTGTAAAAATCGTATTAGAAACTTGACATTGTAAAAATCCGTGGTGTTTCATTAGTTTTTCTTTTGTGATTGTCATTTAATTTGAAATGTAGTGAGAAAACTGTCAAATAAGTAAAAGAGCTTATTCATTTGTTGCTAGTAAATTTGAAGTTATGAGACTCTAACTTCAGGGTGTGTGATTTTCAAATTTCATCAATCTGCCCACCTTGTAATAATTGTACCATGGCCATCACTATTAAAGTCTAATATGCACACAATGTTAGAGACATATTTTATATATTTATGTTAAGCATTTTTTATAACATACTTTAAAGCGCTTAACACAATATGTTAACAGAAAGGAAACGTTTTATAGTTACGCATATATAAATATATATAATACGTGTACAAGTATACTTGTAATATAAATATAATGTACAGGGAGAGATAAAAAAGCAGCAACAAAGTGAAATAGCATCAAATATTAGAATAAGTTTCGATTTATTCGAATTAGTTACCCTTGGCACGAACTATGGCCTTCAAACGACCAATGAAACCGTCACACGCTGCCTAAATGTTGCTTTGCGGTATTTTGGCCCATTCCCGGCGAAGCGCTTGCTTGAGGTGATCGACACTTTGGTATTTTTTAGTGCTAACCAATACTCCAGACACAATAGTCCAACGGATTGGTATCCGGACATTTTGGAGGCCATTGTGCTCTGGAAATGAAGCGAGGAACCTCATTTTGTAACCATTCTTTGGGGCGCGTGCTGAGTGCTGAGTCCTGTTGGAATGTCCAAGGTCTGCGGCCAAAATGTTTGCATGCTCAAGGCTTTAATACACCATTTATTCTGATACCACGGTCGATTAATACGAGCGGAGAGCGACCATTGGCTGTTATGGCGGCCCAAACCATCACCATCGCCGGGGCTTGAGTTCTGGTGGCCAACCGAAGGTGCACATTTTCAGCTGACCTCTTTGGCAAGTAAACACGATCATTTTGTTTGTTTACAAACTGCTGGACAACGAATGTTTTCTCATCGGAGAAAACCAAATTCGGCAGTTCACCACTTTAGGCCATGCGAAGCAACTCTTTAGGTCTTTTGAATCTATTTTCTTTCTGTTGCGGTGTAAATTCTTGCACTTTTTGGAATTTCAATGGCTTTACCCCGAGCTCATTTTCAATATTAGGAGTATTGCGATATGTTCAGCTCACGAGCCTTTTTTGGCCACTGCTAAGATAGGGGGATTTCTACCTATGTTCAAGTGTATAAATAGCACATTTTTATTTAAAAATAGAATATTTTTTATCAATTTCTTAATCAAAGTAGCAAGTATCTGGCGTGTGTCCGCCTAATTACAGTACATTTAAGTACATACATATAAGTATATGTATATTTTTATATCATTCACTTACCATTAGACGGAAATTGTTATCATGAAATGCGTTATCGTTTTGAAATGAAATTGGGTCATTCAACTAACCCAGAATTTTGCAATATTCTCGAGAGAGGTTTGGCAATGGTAGATTTTTTATGTATTCGTTTATTATTCCAATAAAATTGTTATAATAAATTTCTGGGAAAATGTTGTTGTTTATAACCAGCATAAACAAATGAAGTTATGGGTGAGTAAAAATTCAACAACTGTCCGTTCTAATGACATGGTACAATAAAAAGGTAAGGTAGAGCTTCCAGATTTCCAGCTTTTTTTCTGAGCGTACCCGACTTCTGCCAATTTTGTGCATGGTATTTAATGTTTTGAAAAAATAAAAACAATTTTTTTCTCAAAATAAATGATTGGAAGAAACGTTGATTGTGGGGCGCGCTTTGAAGAAATTAACCAGTTTTGCCATGGAATTGACAGATTGGACACTCTGGATCATATTTTTTTAATTAAAATCCAGGCACTTAATTCATCTTCACTTTATCTAAGCCATTTTAAAAATGAAGAAAAAATGTGAAATAAATAAAAACAACTTGTTTTATATAATTTTGAATAGTTCTGACAGGAAGCGGGCATAGCCTCAGATCTGTATTTTTATATTTGAACGAAGCTGTTCTACCTCCTTATTGTACCATGTGTTCTACTTTAAACTACAAACTGGACTAGGATTATCAAAATACCGAATATGGGTCTATACATTAAATACCGAACCGTTCTATGGAAACCGTTGAACAATATGGTCAATGTTTTGACACCGATAGTAAAGCCCATTATGAAGTGCAAATACCAAATTCAACAGAAATCTATTAGAAAATAAGGCATAAATCGTCAAAATACCGAATATCTGAAGGTATCGTATATATACAATGTTCCGCCACCGGAACTAGAGCGCATAATGAATTACAAATACCAAGTTTTAGACAAATCCGTCGGAAAATATGGCAAATTCATTAAAACAATCGAATATCGGGAGCAACCCTTACATATGGGGGCTATACGAAAACGTGGACCTATACATACATACAAACTACAAATACCAAGTTTTAGACAAATTGGTGGGAAAGTATGACTAAAACCATTGAAATGTCGAATATCGGTACCGTTATATGGGGGCTATATGAAAACGTGGACCTACATCAACAATGTTCCGCCACCGAAGCTAGGACCTATAACGACCTACAAATACCAAGTTTTAGACAAATTGGTGGAAATATGTGGTTAAAATCGTCTAAATACCGAATATCGGGAGGTACCCTTGTATGGGGGTTATTACAAAATGGGGACCTATTTATACAATGTTCCGCCATCGAAGCTAGAACGCATTAATACCTACAAATACCAATTTTTAGGCAAACCCGTGGGAAAATGTGGTAAAAATCATCAAAATACCGAATATCGGGAGGTAACCTTATATGGGTGCTATAAGAAAAAATGGAAATATATCAACAAACAAATACCAATCTGTAGAAAAATGTGGCTAAAACCATTGAAATACCGAATATCGGGAGCTATCGTTATATGGGGGCTATCCCAAAACGTGCACCGATATATTTCATTTTTAATATCAACTATCCTAGACACAATACAAATTGTTGTGCCAAATTTAAAAGCTCTATGACAAATAATGTGGGCTGTATAATGATTTCAACAGACACACAGACGGACATCTTTAAATCAACTTAGAATTTTTTATTGATCAGGAGTATATATTGGAGTCTGTGGCAAGAATTTAGAGGTGTTACAAATAAAATGACAAATTTAATAAATCGATTATTCATGGCTGCCACAATCGATTATTCATGGCTGCCACAGAAACCATGTCGGTTTTGCTTATTGTCGTTTTTGTAAACCAATGTTGGTTTCATTTGGTGTCATGAAACCAAGTTGGTTTTGTCAATTTCGAATGTAAATAAAACCAATGTTCGAAACAGCTGTTGTTGCTTACATGTGTTGTTTGTTTATTTGTCATTGAAATATCAGTAAAAGTAAAGTAAATAAAAACCAGTAAAGAAAGTCCTAAAGTCGGGCGGGGCCGATTTTATGATACCCTACACCACTTTGCTAATTTAGTTGAGCTCCACTTAATAATTAAAAGTTTTTTGGGAGAATTCAATCATACACGCTATGATTATAATTATAATTTAAAATTCAAAGGACTAAATATGCCGATGCATTTGTATCTTTTAAATTCGGACTTGTATTGCCCATTTGGTCCGAAATTAATTTGAAATCGGATAAAAATATATATGGAAACTATATCCAAATCTGAACCGATCTTGATAAAATTTGGCAAAGATATTTCTGAGCTGTATTTGATATATTTCCCTGAATATCGTTGTTACGGAGTGCGTATTACGGCTGTGGGTAACAAATACAACAAATCGGATGAACAATATATATGGGAGCTATAACTATATCTGAACCGATCTTCACCAAATTTGGTACACTACCTTCTAGACTAAATTCGGTCGTATGTGCCAAATTCCATCCCATTTGGACAAATATTAGACGTTTGGTGCACAATAAATGGCAAATCGGACGAAGTTATATATGGGAGCTATATCCAAATCTGAACCGATCTCGATAAAATTTAGCAAAGGTATTTCTGAGCTGCATTTGATATATTTCCCCAAATATTGTTGTTACAGAGTGCATATTACGGCTGCGGAGGACAAAAATAACAAATCGGATGAACAATATATATGGGAGCTATAGCTATATCTGAACCGATTTCGATAAAATTTGGCATACTTATTTTCAGGCCTAATTTGGTTGTATGTGCAAAATTCCATACTATTCGGGCTGATAATACACGTTTGGTGCACAATAAAAAGCAAATCGGACGAAGATATATATGGGAGCTATATCTAAATTTTTACCGATTATCTACAATTTCAATAGGGTTCGTCCTTGGGCCAAACAAATGATTTGTGCAAAATTTCATCTGGATAGGGCAATAAATGCGAACTGTACTTTGTTTACAAAAATACATGGACAGACGGACGGACTGACGGACGGACGGACATGCATAAATCGACTCAGAATGTGATTCTATGCAGATCATCAAAAGGAACTGTGTTTCTATCTCGTTTCCTTTTGCCTGTTACAAACAAATGCACAAAGACATAATACCCTGACCACCTAGTGGTGTAGGGTATAAAAAGGAATAAGTCGCTATAAATAAAGTAAGATGACATCAGCAGTGGTAGGTTTTGTGTTGTTGGACGAAGAACGCTCAGAAAAGGTGACGAGAAAAGCTTTAAGAGATTTCAGCAACCCACTGGAGTTGCTGGAAAATTTTTTTATTGCGAACTTTCTCATAAAGCTGCTTTGCAGATTTATGGTCCTTTAAAAATTCTTTAAAAAAATCCTTAAAGAATCCACGTTTATGATCCTTTAAATATCCTTTAAAAAATCTTTAAAAAATCCACGTTTATAGTCCTTTAAAAATTCTTTAAAAAATCCTTAAAGAATCCACGTTTATGGTCCTTTAAATATCCTTTAAAAAATCTTTAAAAAATCCACGTTTATAGTCCTTTAAAAAATCCACGTTTATAGTCCTTTAAAAAATCTTTAAAAAATCCACGTTTATAGTCCTTTAAAAAATCTTTAAAAAATCCACGTTTATAGTCCTTTAAAAATTCTTTAAAAAATCCACGTTTATAGCCCTTTAAAAATTCTTTAAAAAATCCACGTTTATAGTCCTTTAAAAAATCTTTAAAAAATCCACGTTTATAGTCCTTTAAAAAATCTTTAAAAAATCCACGTTTATAGTCCTTTAAAAATTCTTTAAACAATCCACGTTTATAGTCCTTTAAAAATTCTTTAAAAAATCCACGTTTATAGTCCTTTAAAAATTCTATAAAAAATCCACGTTCATAGTCCTTTAAAAATTCTTTAAAAAATCCACGTTTATAGTCCTTTAAAAATTCTTTAAAAAATCCACGTTCTTTAAAAAATCCACGTTTATGGTCCTTTAAGCATCCTTTAAAAATTCTTTAAAAAATCCACATTTTTAGTCGTTTAAATATATCTTTTAAAAATTGTTTAAAAAATCCAAAGCAAATGAAAAGTGACAGCTCTAAGCAACTTGGTTTATTTCCAATAACAAAACCAATAACATTGGCTTCTCTGACAACCAAACCGACAAAATTCTAATTCGGAAATAAAACCAATAACATTGATTTTCATGACACCAAAGCATTTTTTCTTGTCGTTTTTAAAACCAATAGTGACAAAATTGGTTTCTATGACAGCCCTGATTATAAAAATTGGGCGGAAACTTTCAAAACGCCATGTCTCATATGTTTATCTCTGCTTTCATAATTTACTTGGATTTTTTGTTATCATTTTTTGTGTTGCACAGTGTTGTTATTACAGATTTGATGTTTATATATTTTTCCCTTTTGATTAGGTAATGCATATTTATTAGCTTTTAAATTTTGGTAATTGTTTCCTTGACGGCAGATTCTTGAAAAGAAGAGAACAAAATACCATTTTTAGTACCATATATATTTCAAAATTTGATTAATGCCAAAGCAGAGATTATACGTTTAGTTTAAATCGAAAAACCCATCTCAATATGCCGATACGTATATTTCCGGATTATGTTCCATCAGATAAATATCCTGTTCCAATTGACGTAATTCGTTTTCCATTTTTCCTTTCTTGAGCTGTTTGGCCACGGTATCAGTGCAAACCGAAAGACTTTGGTAGGTCTTAAATAGACTACCGAAATTGGTACGAAGACCCTGCAAGAAAAAATATATAAATTTTTTATAAAATGTATTAATTTTTCTCTTAAGTTTTGAAATTACCTCTAATATTTCATTGCGTTCCTCCGGCGATAATTTCTTAACACTTGGCAGACGATCCATATATCTAAGACAGGCGTTATCCGATTGCATTTTAGTCTGAGCACAACGTTCATTTAACTGTTTTAGCATTTTCTTGTGATGATCGAGGTAGCACGGGACCTTGCCGAAATTTTTCGAACAAATATATTGCGGCATTAAACCACTGTTCAAGAGATTGTGACGATCACCTTTGGGTGTGTCGATGTAACGTGGCGGTGGTCGTCTAGTTTCCGCTTTTTTAATTAACTCAACATTTAGAGCTACAAAATTTGCCCGATGCTTGTGGTCGTGGAAATAACGGGTACGTGGACACAACTGATCTCCTTTGTGTTCCTTTTTGTTATCCTTACTTACGGCCGCAGAATGCGAATGCAGCGAAGGAGCAGCAATACGTTCAAAATGAGGCACTGGAGGTATTTCCATCTTGGGCGGACACTGGTGCTCACGTAGACGTTGCCATTTGACACCATTATTCTTCCTTAGAAAATTATTGGGCAATTCAATTGGTGTAATGGCATATCCCATTGTCTGATGGCTATTTTTAGCCGAACTGGTTAATAGCTTACGATTATCTGGCATTTCGATTACATGACGAGCTTTTGTCTGTTCTTTAACGATTTCATTAAATTTTGATTTATATTTCAAACGATGCCGTTGCGTTGTGAGAAAGTCTTTTTCGTTGTCCACATCGAAAATATTCTCATCGTGATAGGTGATATAAACAAGGGACATGATTCAGAAATGGTCCAAAAATGTAGTTCAAAAAATGTAATTCTCCTATTTTTTATTGAGCAAAAGAAATCTATTTGTTTTTTATGTTTGTTTTACGTTTTTCCTCAATGCTCTTGTTTAGAGAAATAAATACCAACAAAGGTTACCATGTTGAAGCATATTTATTATTATTCAACTTGGTGTAACCATGACTTTTTTATTACATATTGAGAACGAATAATTTCCTTAGAAATGATCTTCCTGTTTCTAAACAAATAAAATGTTTTTCAAAATCAAAGAAGTAGCAGACATGTTTGGTGAATTTATTTTTTTGCCAAAACTTCTAAAATTTCGGCATTAAGTGGATGTCTCAAACTAAAGACCAAATTGTGTTACATCCATCGCATCGACGCAGCTGCTGGGAAAATGAACAGTCAAATTAATTTTGAATGAAAAATTATTCAAATTCGTTAAAATTGTTGAAAAATGCATAACATAAAAACACCCGCTTGGCATCGTATAAGAAAACTTATAAAAATCTACTTATTTTTGAAAAAAAAAAAAAAAAAATCGGATAAAACCTATATATGGGGTCTATTTCTATATGTGAACCAATTTTCGTTGTACTTGCTTCTAGACTGAATTGGGTCAGATGTACCAAAATTCAGGACTTTTGGACTGACAATTAAGCCGAACTCGACTTATATCCAAATCTGAACCGATATTAACAAAATTTGATACACTTATTACAGAGCTGTATCTGATATCTGATACCAAAGATCATTGTTGTGGAATGCATATTATGCTTGTGAGGGACTTTAAACCCGAAATCGGATAAAGCATATATATGGGAGCTATGTCTGTACCAATTTAACCAAATTTTAAGTACTTGCTTCTACACTGAATTCGGTGGGATGTACCAAAATTTAGGTCATTTGGAATTATATTGTCCAAATTGTTTGAAAAATTTCATCTTAATCGGATAATAAATGCGACCTGCATTTTGTTCACAAGAATACAGGGTGAGATAAAAAAAAAACTGCAACAAAGTCAAACGCCATAATTTTTACATTTTTTTAAAATTTTATTGAATGAAAGAAAAAATGTCGGAAATAGCATCAAATTTTAGAATAAGTTTAGATTTTTTCGAATTGGTCACATTTGGCACGAATTATGGCCTTCAAACGACCAATGAAACCGTCATACGCTGTCCAAATGTTGCTCTACGGCATTTCGGCCTATTCCCGGCGAAGCGCTTGCTTGAGGTGATCGACACTTTGGTATTTTTTAGTGCCAACCTTGTTTTACAAAATACTCCAAACACAATAGTCCAACGGTTTGGTATCCGGATATTTTGGTGGCCATTGTGGGCTGGAAATGATGCAAGGAACCACATTCTGTAAGCATTCTTGGGTAGCGCGTGCTGACTTCGATGGTGCTGAGTCCTGTTGGAATGTCCAAGATCTGCGGCCAAAATGTTTGCGTTCCCAGGGCTTTAATACACCCTCCAGAATATTTTCGCGATAATATTCGGCATTTATTCTGATGCGGTCGATTAATACGAGCAGAGAGTGACCATCGGCTGTTATGGCGGCACACACCATCACCATAGCCGGCGCATAAGTTCTGGTGGCCAACCGAAGGTGCACATATCATATTGTTTGTTTACAAACTGCTGGACAACGGATGTTTTCTCATCGGAGAAAACCAAATTCAGCAGTTCACCACTTTCGGCCTAACGAAGCAACTCTTTAGCTCTTTTGAGTCTATTTTCTTTCTGTTGCGGAGTAAGTTCTTGCACTTTTTGGAATTTGGAATTTCAATGGCTTTACCCCGAGTTCATTTTTTAATATTTGCCGAATGGAATATTGCGTTATGTTCAGTTTACGAACCATTTTTCGGCCACTGCGACGCGGGTTTCGATCAAGTCGCTTCTTTACTTTTCGAACCATTTCTGCTGATGTTGCTGTTTTCTTCTGTCAACTTTCTTAACATCGGGCTACGCTACGCCAGTATCACTGCAACGAGCGATGGTAGGAGACACAAACGATATATTTACATTTTAATGCTGGAGTGCCATCACGAAAAACTTTTTTTCTGGAAAATTCTCATCAAAATGCTTTTGTACGCTTGTAAACAATATAATGAGCTGTCACTGGAATAATTTTAACAGTTGTCGGACGAGTACTTCGAAATGACAGCAGTCTGAAGATGGTTGCAGTTTTTCAATCTCACCCTGTACATGGACAGACGGACTGACATGCATAAATCGACTCAGAAAGCGATTCTATGAAGATAACTATGGGTCTATATCGCTTCCTTCTCCATGTTACAAACAAATGCACAAAGATATAATACACCACTATAAAAATGTTGATCCAATATCTAATGGCAGCTATTAGACAGACGCTCTTTCTGTCTCTCTTTGGTCCTTACAAAATAAGATTAAAATAATCCGAAGGTTTTTAATTTAAAACTAGCATTTTTTATTGGATTTTATAATTTTATTTCCTTTAATACAAAGATCAAGCGCTATGTATGCTGTTTTATGCGTGCGACATACATTATTATAAATATATTTTTTCTACAGTTAATTATTTTCTTTTGTATAAATATATGTAATATCTTTATAAATATATAAAAGCATTTCATTTATTACTTTGTCTAATGTATACATAGAATGTAAATAGGTATTTCGAAGAGTTATATATTTTTCATATTGACATATATTAATATGTATATAAATGCGCTCTAATAGCACTGCATATGAACGAATATAAATTTGTTTTCGTTGTGTCTTAACATATACTACCATATAAAACATATAAAAATATAAGTTTTTTTTTATGAATTTTCGAATACATTTAAAATTGAATTTTGGAATTTTATTATGTTTTATAAATAAAAAAATTTAAAGCATAACTATGTACTTACTACATTACTGTTGTACACAAATATTGTTTTTTTTTTATATGCATTGATTTTTTTTAAAGTGATTTAACACGCTTTTATAATGTATGTGTGTATTATTTATTTATTTATTATTATTTTTTTTTTTAATCAGGCACATTATATTATTTTGTAGCTAAATTTATAAATTAGCCATTATTTAAAATAAGATTTTGTTATCGATTGAATTTTATAGAAAAGAATTTTAGTATTTAGCTACTGCGTTTATAAACGACCTTAGCTTCAAAATATTTTTCTCTTGTGTTTCCAATCTCAAAACTATGAATCTTACATATCAATCAATTGAATTTCAATTTACCTTAAATTAGCAACTAACAGATTCAGATATTTTCTCGAAATACCAAAATCCATTCTAAAAGCTCGTCTATCCATAGCACCCTTTTTCTTGATGCAATGCATAACATTTGTTCTGGCCAATGAAAAATCAACCTATTTTGCTTCGATTGATTTCATTCTTTGAACATGGCCATATTTAGGTTTTTTGTAGTGACGTTTTTATATTACACATTTTCTAGCAAAAGTTGTATGTGTGTTTTATTTGTAAACTGTTATCGTTTTTAAATATTTTATTTTCATATTGCACTTTTAGGTAATTGGGAAGAACAGTTTATGTTATATCATACGGAATTAATCTTATTTTTCATGCTAAATCTAACAAGAGTTTGTAAATGTTGGTGAGTAGTTCTAGTACAAAGAATGTTTTTTGACATGATCGCAATAGACCAGGTCTTTGTATTGGACCAACTAGATTTTTTTATTTATATTCAAATGTCCATATGTTCAGAACCAAAAGCATTTACTTGATTATGTTTATGTTGTGTTTGTCCTATTTTCATTTAATTCTATGATTTGAAAAGTTGGTTTGAGTGGTCTTATCTAATTGGCTGACACAATTATACTTTAAAAACTTTACGAAATTTCAATTTGTGCGTAAATTTCTGTAGTTTATTTTTTATGTCAATTTTCGAAACCGTAAAAATCCACTATTCAACCCTCGTTAAGAAACAATTGTCTTTTCCGATTGACCAAGATCAAAGGGACATGAAACACACAAATTATGGAGTCTTTGCCAGCTTAGCACGGACTCAAGTGAGTAAACACTTTTTTTATTTTAGTAACAAATCAGAGCATAAAAACCCAATTAATTACACAGCAGCAAAAACTCGGGTTGTTCTGAAAATACTTTACACGATCCCCAGTTATTCTAACCCAAATTATTGGGACTCTAAAAATACTGTTTTCGGGCGAATTGAGCTCGGCTCGACCGGGGAAAGCATATTCTACCGTCGTAATTGTTGATCTTAATCTGACAACTAATCACATTCTTTAAAAACATGTATGTATTTTCTTTTAAATATATAGTTCTCTTGTTGTAAATATTTCTTTTTGAGTTAAATACTAAATAATTAGATACTTAGTCATACGTCATGTAATAAATTTATATAATCTCCGTTTTAATAATTATCTTTTACTTATTATTATTATTAATATTATTGGTATTACCACCTTCATTTTGAGTTTTTCTTTCTTCGCGAATGCGTTTAAAGGCCTCCGTTTTAACGAAATCCACTGAATTGTAGACGACTGTACTTTGTACTGGAGCTCTGGCCGAGGGATCAGCAGCTAAACCTAAACGATTGCCGCTGGTGCCACTATTCAAATTACCCACACTCATACTTTGACGATTTATAGCCGGTGGATTGGCAACATCTAAATCGAAGTACTGTAGTTTATGTTCATTTTTTGGGGGCAATTGCAATTGTATGGGTAATGTTGTATTATTGGAAATAAGCGTACTATTCGAGTTCAAATGTTGCATAGCGGCATTTGCAGAAGCTGTCCGTTGATGTTGTATGGTAAAACCACCACTGCTTAAAGCCGGATTTATCATTGTCGGTGTATTGCAGTGCGAAGTGTTTGCATGACTGAGTGCATAATTTGGTCTGGGTTGACGTGGTAATGTTCGCGACTCCATGGTATAGGAGAGTGGCATTTCGTTTTCATTTGATAGCATTACCATAGATAATGGAGCACCGGTTGTTCGACGTGTATTGTTGCCAAGAGTATTAGAGTTACCAATCTGTAAAATTAAACAAAATTAATTAGCTTTAAGTTGCAAATAATAACAAACCCTTTTCCTATTATTATTTAAAAACCAAAAGTCAAAAGTCGGGCGGGGCCGACTATATGATACCCAACACCACTATGCATTGAGTAGAACTCCGGTAACAAAAGAATTTGTTTGAAGTAGATCACCTATCAACAGTTGGCTTTATAGCAGTTATAGTTTGGTTTCAGAGGGAACTAATATATGGGAGGCATATCCAATTCTGAATGGATTTTCACTAAATTTGATGGAGCCATTTTTTATTTTTTATACCAAATAAAATTGCTATATAGTGTTTGATATCACTTCGAGAAGGATTAAATTAAAAAAATATATATCGCAGCCGAGTTCCACCAAATGAAAATATACGTCCCCAAATTCACTCCATTTGGGCTGTTATTAGGCATTATTTGAACAATAAACCTGAAATAGGATTAAGGATATATATGGGAGCTATATCTAAATCTTACTCAATCTCGATAAAATTCGGCAAAGGTATTTCCGAACTCTATAAGATATCTGGTACCAAATATCACTGTGGTCAATTGCATATTACAAATATGAGGGACTTAAACACCAAATCGGATGAAACATATATATTGGAGCTATAGCTATATCTGAACCGATTTTCACCAAATTAGATGTACTTGATTCTAGACTGAATTCGGTTGGATGTACCAAAATTCGGTTGGATATACCACAATTAACTCGAAATCCGATTATCACCCATTTCAATAGGGTTCGTCCTTGGGCCAACCAAATATTGTTTAGAAAATTTCATCTCAATTGGATAATAAATGCTAACTATGGGTCTATCTGGCTTCCTTCTCCATGTTACAAACAAATGCACAAAGACATAATACCCTTACCACTATGGGGTGAAGAGTATAAATATGCTCTAAATTTCGTTGATTGCATACGTGTATATTACGTAGATAATTGCGATATCTTTCAGTATATGAAACCGTTTTAAAAATTATTACCTTATAAGCATTGGGTTTATTCTTACGATCCACCGAGGGGGGTTTTAATGGAATATTTTCTGATGTTGCCAGAATGTTTTCTGCGCCAGCATTATTGCCCCCCAGGTCAGCTGGAGATGTTTGAATTTGTGTCTCTTGCAAACGATTTGCCAAATTGTCAACTTGTGCCGCTAGTTGTGGAGGTTTTGCTGGTAGTTCTTCCGGTGGCTTATCAGCCTCAATACTTAATTTTGGCTTCAATTTACGATTAACTGGCGGTACTTTGGTCTGATCAATAAAATCATAACGAAATACATTATTCTCCACCTTGCATGGTGCTGCATTTGTGTAACAATGTGGTCGTGGCAGCGTTCGTACATTCGATGACATTTGTGGTCCCAGCGAGTGAGTTGCTGAGATCACGGAAGCCGGTGAGCTGGGTACTGTGTCGGAACCGCTCATTAAATTTGGCGTTGATGCAGCAATGGGATTTGCCTCTGGACTATTGACCTTTTCCATTATATTGGCCATATTGTAGTAGGGCAACTGATGAGAGCGTGGTATGTCATAGCTTTCATCGACCACAGAACGTGCATCTCGTGGCCCTATAATAGCGGGTGATGTATTTTCCGTATCGGAAAATTGTGGCACATCCCGAGTTGATCTGAAATTGAATACAAGTTTTAAAACCAGATCTCGGCCAAAAAAAAGAATAAGACTTACTTTTCATTGTCCTTAAAGTCCAATATGAGATTATTTTTGTTCTTCAAAACCTTGGCTAACTTCTCCAAGCATTCATTGGAGTTGTTTACACTTCCGCTGTTGATAGCTGTATTTTTCAGCTCATTATTAGCATCGTCAGGTAATTTTGAAAAGCGTTGTGAGTAAGTCAATACAAACGACTCATTTTCCACCGAACTGTCGGAGGGTCTTGTATTGCGATCTATTACAAATAAACACAGAATGAATTATCGTTTCTAAAAGTCAAAATAACTCATTTTTTTAATTTACCTAGGTGTTCCCTTAGGGGCATTGGGTGTGCCCATTCGTCATCATCTGTAAACACACTTTCCGAATCAGAATCGGATTTATTGCTGCGGTTCTTGGAAACATTAGTGGGTTGTTGCTGTAACTAATGGGCAAAATAAAAATTAGTTTATGGTTTATTTTTTTGGATGTCATTGTTATTGGAGAGATTTATATTTTTTATCAAAGGGATTTAAGAAAAGAGTTTCCAAATGAAAAACTAAGAGACGAGATCCAAAAGATCCAAACAAGTTATGACAGATATAAGAATTAGAAATTGTGACCCTTTGTGGATGAGGTACCAGAACGGGTTGGCAGATATCTATCATCTTCACAACAAATCTTGTTTTAGCATAAATGTTTGTATGTGTGAAATTTGAAAAGAGTTGGATGCTTATTTCACTTTCTTGGAGCGTTTTGTTTTTCAAAATCTTGAACCCTATGTGGGGGAGGTACCAGAAGAAATGGTGCGATCTTTACCATCTTTATAACATATCTTGTGTTGATGAAAATATATATTCCATCTTCATACCGGACCTTGGCAAATATTGTGATGTGTGTAATTTGAAGAGAACCGGATGCTTGTCAAGGATTTTATGATCATTTTGGTTATTCAAAAATTTGACCCATTGTGGGGGAGGTACTTGAAGGAGTAGACCATATATCCCATGTTCACATCAGACCCTGGTTTAATAAAAACATTGCGATGGGTTTAATTTGAAGAGAACCGGATGCTTATTTCGGATTTTATGATCGTTTTGGTTATTTAACATTTTGTGGGGGATGTACTTGAAGGAATGGGCCGATATATCCCATCTTCACATCAGACCTTGGGTTAGTAAAAATATTGTGATGTGTGTAATTTGAAGAGAACCGAATGTTTTTTCGGATTTTATGATTGTTTTGGTTATTCAAAATTTTGACCCTTTGTGGGGAAGGTACCAGAAGGAGTGGACCGATATATTCCATCTTCACACCAGACCTTGTGTTAATAAAAATATTTTGATATGTGTAACTTGTAGACAGTCCGATTGTCACACAAGATCACGTTTTATATGAGTTATAATTATTAAAAAATTTGACCCTTTGTGGGGGAGGTACTTGATGGAGTGAACCGATATTTTCCATTTTCGCACCTGACCTAGAACTAATGCAAATATTAGGATTTGCAAAGTTGGAGTAAAATCGGATTATCCTTTCTCTCTCTGTGCAGTAAAATATTTTCTTTGAAAGTTTCGACTTTTCGTGTGGGAGGTACCAGAAGGAGTGCACCGAACTCGATCTAAGTTTGGGAATAATATTACGATGTGCCAAGTTTGGAACAAATCGGGTACTCCCTTCGAGAGTTATCGTGCGTACCAGCCAATCAGACAGACAGACAGACGGAGGGACATCGCTAGGTCGACTCCAAATGTCCTGAAACGGATTTGGTCCAAAGAGACCTAGGGTCTAAAACTGTTATTTCGATGAGGCACGCTTCAGCCGTATCAAATAATACATACCCTCTCTAGCCACATGGCCGAGGGTATAATAATGGCTTGGTAACCGGGCATGTAATGAGTATTTTTCCTGGGTAAGCGGACTTTAAACATTGCATGACGATGGTAAGCATACTACTCTACTGAAGACACAAATCAATTAATTGCGAAATATAAATGTGTCATTTAGCTATAAGAATTGTAAATTTATCCACACTTACCGTTCCACAATTGGTTATCTTAGGTGAATAGGATTGATCATTGGTTAAATTCAAACCAATAGTATTATGACTTCGTGGTGTATCATAAAATTTCGGATCCAAATTGTTCAAAGGCGTCGAAGGTTGATTATTAGCATCCAACTGAAATATAAAGAACTCATTTTGATTAAAAATCTCTACTTCCGTTACTTTAACAAGCCTTACCAAAAATTTTGGACTTCCGGAATAGCATTCGCTAATGGGTATATATGGACCAGAGGCCGTACTCAATGCTGGCGAGGGTTGTACATTGTGTTGTTGGGTCTCCGGCAATGGAGTATTGTTCAGCACCAAATTTTCAGGTATTTTTCGCACTACACCATTTGCACTGACAGCCAGGCGCGGGGACTCTTGAAATACTGCCGTATTTAGGTATAAGGCCGAAGAGCCCTGTTGTTGTGTTTGAGATTTTGCCGGCTGTTGTAGCTGTTGCATATTGGCTACATTTACCAATTGCTGTTTTTCAAATTGATCATCACAAACTAGGGTTTCTCGATTTGAATACTCAGTATTAACATAGGCCCGACTACTGTCATCGGCGCTTTGTTGTTGGAATGCAGAGGATGATGTTGATGCATTACTACTGGCCGCAACAGGTTGTTGTTCCACCACATTTAACGGCTTACGAAGTATATCGTTGTTAAAACTTTGACGGGTGTTGTTGCCAGCACTTGTACCACTCGATGAGTTAATGGTGGTGGTTGTTGTATCAGTCGATGTATTGGTATGGACAGTAGTGGCTATTGTTTGGGTGCGATTTTCATCTGTGATGGAATAAAATTTGTAATTAAAAATTTATGACTTTCTTGTGTATTTATTATTTGTTCCTACCTTGCGTTTGTTTGGTGTCATGCAAGTGACACACCTGACAAATACAATTCACCCAATCACGCATAACCCTATCCGAATCCGCTGCCAAATAGTATGTACGCTTTGGAGTTTTGATATCAAACATAAATTGGAATTTCTGTTTTCGATTCTCCAAGCGCAGGCCACAGTCCACCTGTTCACATTGATCCAAATCGATGACACCTTTTAGTTTGCGACACTTACTATCGGCATAGTATTCAAGGCAGAACTGCTCCGGTATCTCGCCTTGTTTTAATGTAAACCAACGACGACGCCAACGCTGTTCCAATAAACCACCGAGGCAACAGCAACAATAATGAAAAAAGAGCAAAAAAGAAGGGAATTGCAAACAATTAGCACATTGTTGTTTCATGTTACAATTTAAGCAACTTCAAGACATACATACAAATGTTTTGTTTATATTGTTATGTGGATAGATATATTGAACATGAGAATGTTCCTACACTCTTCATAGAATTAAATACCTAAAAATCGCAAATGTTTAAATTTTTAAATTAAGAGAAGATTTTTAGGATATTTTTTCATACGGTACTTGTTTTAATAGATTACATTTTCGTCATTAAAATTTTTATTTAAATATGTGGGCAATTGTAGATTTTTGAAGATTCAGAAAATATATGTTATAATTTATTGTTTTTTAGAATCAAACATTTTTTCATAATGAAGTTAATAGATGTAATTGGCGAAAATAAAGTTTTCAGGCCTACCTAATACATGTCATATTATTTATTAGTTATGACAGCACATTCATGTACTTTCCGACATCCAATAAGGAGAGTGTGTATGCTATGTTTGCCTGTGCGTAATAAGGAAAATGCGTCAACAACAATGTTTCCAACAGATAATAAAATAGCTCAAGAAGAAAATTCTATTAATTAAGTGTGTTCGTATTAATGGCAAAACAGATGGCGGCCTGGTGGTTCATTATTTTCTGATGATTATTACCACAAAGGTGGGGCATTCGATGGTAAAAAAAATAATTGGAAAAACAACAAGTTTAGTACTGGAATCAAAATTTAAAAATTGCCACACAAAAGCACTTGATACATGCAGATCAGGAATATCAACTTTTTATTACGTTCTCTTTTCTTTGCAATTTTTATAATGTTTTATGGGGGCTATACCAAAACATGGACCTGCACAGACAATTTTCTGTCATAGGCTGTAGTATCTATTGCGAACTTCAAATACCAAATTTGAAACGATTCCAGTAAATAATGCCGCTAAAATCATCAAAATGCCGAATATCGGAAGGTACGTTTATATGGGGGCTATACGAAGACGTGGACCTACACAAACAATTTTCCGTCTTAGGGTGTAATATCCATTACAAACTTCAAATGCCAAATTTGATACAATTCCGGTTAATAATGTCGCAAAAATCATCAAAATACCGAATATCGGGGGGTGCTGTTATATGGGGGCTATACGAAGACGTGAGCCTGCACAGGCAATTTTCTCTCATAGGGAATAGTAACCATTACGAACTTCAAACACCAAATTTAAAAAAATTCCAGTGAATAATGTCGGTAAAATCATCAAAATACCAAATATCGGGAGGTACCGTTATATGGGGGGCTATACGAAGACTTGGACTTGCACAGATAATTTTCTGTCATAGGTTGTAGTTTTCATTGCGAACTTCAAATACCAAATTTAAAAACAATACCGGTGAATAAAGTCGCTAAAATCATCAAAATATCGAATATCGGAAGGTGCCGTTATGTGGGGGCTATACGACGACGTTGACCTTCACAGACGATTTTCTGTCATAGGTTGTAGTATCCATTGCGAACTTCAAATAACAAATTTGAAACATTTCCGATCAATATAGGTACCATTTTATGAATAGGGAGGTACAATTATATGGGGGCTATACCCAAACGTGGACCACCATTTTCAATACCAAAAGTCCGGCAGACATAATATACATTTGAGTAAAATTTTATCATCTTACTTCATTTCGATCGGAAGCTAGAGTGATTTCCACAAACGGACAGACGGACAAACATCTCTAAATCGACATAGAATTTTACGCTGATTAAGAATTTACAGGGTGAGATAAAAACTCCAACCAATTTCCGACTGATGACATTTCTAAGCCAATCGTCCGACAGCTGTTAAAATTATTCCAGTGACAGTTCATTATATTGTTTAAAAGCGTACAAAAGCATTTTGGTGTGAATATTCCAGAAAAAAAGTTATTCGTGATGAAATTCAAGAGTGATAGTGTGAATTCTTTATATTTGGCTGGGAAATCACAAGTGGATATCGTTAGAGCACTCCAGCATTTAAATGTGAATAAATCTTTTGTGTCTCGTACCATCGCTCGTTGATACCGACCGTGATACTGATAGCGTAGCGGAAGGAAGTGGACGGAAGAAAACAGCAACATCAGCAGAAATGGTTCGAAAAATAAAAAAGGGACTTGATCGAAACCCGTGTCGCAGTGGCGGAAAAAATGGCTCGTGAGCTGAACATACCACCATATTCCATTCGGCAAACATTGAAAAATGAGCTCGGGTTAAAGCCATTGAATCTCCAAAAAGTGCAAGAACTTACACCGCAACAGAAAGAAAATAGACTCAAACGAGCTAAAGAGCTGCTTCGTCCGTTGAGAAAACATTCGTAAACAAACAAAATGATCGTGTTTACTTGCCAAAGCGGTCAGCTGAAAATGTGCACCTTCGGTTGACCACCAGTACTCAAGCGCCGGCCATGGTGATGGTTTGGGCCGCAATAACAGTCGCTCTCCGCTCGAATTAATCGGCCGTGGCATCAGAATAAATGCCGAATATTATCGCGAAAATATTCTGGAGGGTGTATTAAAGCATTGGGCACGCAAACATTTTGGCCGCAGACCTTGGACATTCCAACAGAACTCAGCACCATCGCACTCAGCACGCACCACCCAAGAACGTTTACAAAATGAGGTTCCTCGCTTCATTTCCAGCGCACAATGGCCACCAAAATCTTCGGATACCAATCCGTTGGACTATTGTGTCTGGAGTATTTTGGAAAGCAAGGTTGGCACTAAAAAATACCAAAGTGTCGATCACCTCAAGCAAGGACCAAAATACCGTAGAGCAACATTCGGGCAGCGTGTGACGGTTTCATTGGCCGTTTGAAGGCCATAATTCGTTACAAAGGTGACAACTTCGAAAAAATCTAAACTTATTCTAAAATTTGATGCTATTTCCGACATAAAAAAAAATGTAAAAATTATTGCGTTTGACTTTGTTGCAGTTTTTTATCTCTTATGTGGGTTCTATTAATGGCACCGATTTTAGATGTAGCGTCGGACAATAGGGTGCTCACTCATATTTTTCCCCAGATTTCCACCATATATTTCCTATTCAACTTACTTCTATAATGGGCAGAAGATTCTATGATATTTGTGTATACAAATGTACATTTTCTCTTCATGAAATTCAAACCCAGGCACAACCTTAGTAAAAAAATTGAATCTAGCTTCAGCCCGTACAGTGCGGAATAGTATTATCTGAAGTGAATAGGATAATATGGATCTGTGTCAAGATTATATACACTATCTGTAGTATCGATCGAAAAAATATGGCTTTCCATCTTAAAGTTAAGTTCCGATATTTTCTTTGGCAACTTTACAAGAAAAATTCTTGCACGCATACCTGCATATATTTATGGAAAATTGTGGAAAGTAACTGGTGACAAGCTATGACTAATAATGTTTTCCAAGAATGCATGCAAATAGCTTGTTGTGATGTGTTTATAAATTATATTTGAAAATACATACGAACACCCACATACACACAACATCGATTGCGATAAGCCAGTACCATATTATATTATAAAAAAAGTACACAATGTGCATTTATAGATGTATACAAACACATCGACATACATATGTGTGTTTTTGTTTATTGTTGATGTTTTTGCGTTAAATAATTTTTCACATAAACAATTCAATGCAAATCATTAACTAATTTCGAACGTATTTTCATTGATTCTAAACAAAAATACGATATACTTTGATCTTTATATATGTTGTTATGTTCACATACTTCAGATTTAGATTTTTGCTTCTGATCGTTTCACATACTATTTGGGGGTTTTCCAATTAGGTTTGGGTTTTTATCTGTTTGATTCTGTTTTGTTGCTACTTTTTTCAAATGCAATTTTATACTAAACTCACTAAAGGAAACTAATCGTCTAGTGGAGAAATTAAATGATTTGCGCAGTGCAACTAGCGACTGTGTTTGGGGGATTCGAATAACTCGTATGCGTATTATAACCCATACCACACCCTGCAGGACAATGCAAAAGAATATTTGAGCATGTATACAAACAAGTAAAAAACATTAAGTTCGGCCGGGCCGCACATTTAATACCCTCCACCATTGGGTAAAGAAAACAATTTTTTATAAAAGTATCTCAATTGAAACGTGTTCCACTTTAAGCTACAAATATCAGTATGACCATTTGGATGACTTTTCAAAAAACCACAAGGTGGGTGAGACCGTTATATGGGGGCCATACCAAAACGGGAACCTATATAGGCAATTTTATACTTCAAGGATTGTCATCTACCAAATCTTCTTAAATGCCACATTTGAAACAATTTTGTGGTTAAATGTGACTAGGATTATCAAAATACCGAATATCGGTGTGTATCGTTATATGTGCGCTATAGGAAAACGTGGACCAATACACACAAAGTTTCCACCGGAGCTAGAACCTTTTATGAACTATAAATAACAAATTTTTAAGCAAATTCGTGGAAAATTTAGTGAAAATCATCAATACATCGAACATCGGGTGGTACCGATATATGGCGGCTATACAAATACGTGGACCCATGGTACAATAAAAAGGTAAGGTAGAGCTACCAGCTGATTACAATTTTTTTTAGGTGTGCCCATGGCCTATATAAGGTCGGCCAGGGAGCGAATTGGTAAAAAATACAGCTCTGACTGTTAATTTTAATGTCAATTTTTTGTTTTTTTTTTTTTTTTTTTTTTTTTCTAGGCGAAACAACTTGTTTCGCCCTGACATCTAATAATCACGGCAAATTTGTTAATTGCCAACAAATGAGAACAACCAAAAGGAAAACATCATGTATCAGAATGTCGACTTTTGTGTGGGAGGTATGATAAATTATTCAAAATGTTGACCCTTTGTGGGGTAGGTACTTGAGAGAGTAGACTGATAGACTGACAGGTTGAGATAAAAAACTGCAACGCCATACATTACAACAACATTTACAACATTTTATTGTATGAAAGCAAAAGATGTCGGAAATAGCATCAAATTTTATAATATGTTTAGATTTGCTTGAATTGGTCATCTTTGGCACGAATTATGGCCTCCAAACGGCTAATGAAACTGTCTGAATGTTGCTCTGCGGTACTTTGGCCCATTCCCCGTGAAGCGCTTGCTTGAGGTGATCAACACTTGGTATTTTTTAGTGCCAGCCTTGCTTTCCAAAATACTCCAGACACAATAGTCCAACGGATTGGTATCCGGAGATTTTGGTGGCCATTGTGCGCTGGAAATGAAGCAAGGAAACTCATTTTGTAACCATTCTTGGGTGCTGAGTCCTGTTGGAATGTCCAAGGTCTGCGGCCAAAATGTTTGCGCGCCCAAGACTTTCATATACCCTCCATTATCGCGATAATATTCTGTTCCAGATTTCACCAACGTCGAAGAGTTCAGAGCATACAGAAGACGTTACTTTAAATTCTAACTGGCAAACTTTACTCCATTCTGCCTCCTTCTTTCTGCATATTCGGCAAATTCTCATGTTCAAATTCACAAATTTTTCTGTTTATTTATAATTTATATAGATTTGTCTTCAAACTCCTTTAATAATTTAAATTATTTGGAAATTTGTTGACAAGAACGTCACAATTTTGTTTTTGTTTTCATAGGGCCAATTCAGAATATATTTTGACAGACAACTTGGTCGTCAGATGGTCTTACTGGCCGACCTTATATAAGCCATGGGTGTGCCCGACTTCTGCCAATTTTGTGTATGTATTTGTTGTTTTGAAAAATAAAAAATCAAAATCAATGATTGGAAGAAACTTAAATTGCGGTGCGCGCATTAATAATTTTAACCAGATTTGCCATGGAATTGAAAGATTGCAAACTTGGGATCATATTTTTTAGAGAATGTCCAGGAATTTCAATTATATTTCGCGCTATTTGACACATTTTAAAAACGAAAAAAAAAAGTATCAAATAAATGAATACAATTTGTTGCCTATAATTTTGAATAACTCTGAAAGGAAGCGGGCATAGCCTCAGGGCTGTATTTCTGTAGTTGTACGAAGCTGTTCTACCTCCTTATTATACCGTGCGTGGAACGATATATCTCATTTTCAATACCAATCATCCTAGACACAATACAAATGGTTCTGCCAAATGTTAAAGCTCTACGTCAAATAATGTGGGCAATGTCGACAGGCGGACAGTCATTCGGACATGGTGAGGGTATATTAACTTTGTCATTCCGTTTGTAACATCCCTAAATATTCGTCGTAGACCCCATAAGGTATATATATTCTTGATCAGCGTAAAATTCTAAGACGATTTATCACTGTACGTCCGTCTGTTGTAATCACGAAAAAACGAATAAAGATAGGAAGCTAAAATTTTGCACACGTCTGTCTTTTGTCTGCAGGCAGGTCAAGTTCGAAAATGAGCTATAGGCAGGTCAAGTTCGAAGATGGGCTATATCAGTCTACAATATCGTATAGCCCCCATATAACGGTACACCATCTCATCCCCAATATCCGGTTATTTGATGATTTAGAAAGGAATCGTCTGAAACTTCACTCAAGGAGTTCTTTGTTAGTACATTATATCCCTTGTCCATATAGGTCCACGTGATCGCATAGCCCCCATATAACGGTACCCCCGATATTCGGCATTTTATTATTTTAGCCACACTATTCTACGGAATTGTTTGAAAATCCGTACATGTAGTTCCTTGTAAGTACTTAATTCTCTAAAAGATAATTGTCTATATAGGTCCACGATATCATATAGTCCTCATATAATGGTACACCCCGATATTCAGTATTTTAGTAATTTTAGCCGCATTTTTCAATGGAATTGTCTTCTGTATACTTTACCCACTACAAGGGAATTGTCTACATAGGTCCACGTTTTAGTATAGCGCCCATATAACGGCACAACCAAATATTCGGTATTTTTTATGATTTTTGTGACTTTATTCACTGGAATTGTTTCAAATTTGGTATTTGAAGTTCGTATACTACAGCCTATGACAGAAAATTGTATGTGCAGGTCCAAGTTTTGGTATAGCTATAGCTACATTATTCGCCGATTTTATTTTAATGGCTTATGACAAAAGTTGTCTATGGAGGTCCACGTCGTCGTATAGACCCTAATATAACAACTACATTCGGTAGTTTAAAGATTTTAATAGAATTTTTAACGGATTTTATTTTTTTGAAAATTGGCAAATTCGTTCCAAATGGTGGAGGGTATTCAAAGTTCGGCCCGGCCGAACTTACCGCATTTTTACTTGTTTCAACTAATCTCCTTTTTTTTGGTGTTTTCACCCCTCTGTCGTTAAACTAAAATAGTTTATTGTAAGATTTTCGGATATCGTTTTAGACCGTAATACACTGCAACTTATGATCCATTTGGATTGGATTCGGATTGTTTACTCAACAATTTTAAATAATTTCACTAATTATTACTGGACACAAGACATTACTCACTTACAAGACTGTTACTGAATAATTACGGAAAAAATAAACGAGCAAACATAAAGAATGCAAATATTTTCATTCATAGACTATTTTAACATCTGCAATTGTAAGTAGATAAAAAAAATAATTCTAGGAAAACAACTGTACGGACTGACTCATAAACTTGACAAACATCAATTTCATTCATAAATTCATCTGGGTTTATAAATAAAAACGTAAAATTATACAAAAAAAAAAAAAAAAAAAACGACGAACTCTGCTGCCTGGTAGTGGCGGCAAATCAACAATACTGGAAGAAAGACGATGATTAAATATGCAAACATTTAATTAAATAATTATAATAATTATCAAATAATTATGAAAACATTTCTCAATCAACAAAATTTCTATGAACAATATATAGATTGAAAGCGATAATATGGATTGAGCATCTTGGAAATAGGTATGCATATAATTTTTCTGGTTTCAAATTGGTATGTGCAAGGTACTACTCCCAACAGCTGGAACCGAATCTGGGCTGTGTGTATGCCCCAAGTAGAATAAGATGCATGCTTAAAACTAACTACAGAGTAATAATAAACTGTGTATCACAGTATAGCCAAACACACATGTAAAACCACAACAAAAACATACAACAAATTAAAAATAATCAATCTCGGAATCACATCTTCACTTACCGCTCGCCATATACGCTTCGTGGGCGGTGATTTGATCAACCAGCCCTCGTAGTAAATCTCTTTGTTCATATCGATAATTTTTGTATGTTTCCACAATTTTAAATCAATTTTGGCGTCTTTTTATTCCGACTTAATACACAAAGAATATAACAGCAACAACGACGACAAAGCAACAAAAATTAAGCACGACTCTTTTCTAACTTAACAACGTAGATTGGACACTATTTTCTGTGTAATTTCTGATAATCTCCACCCAAAAAACTGTGTGTGTGTTCCTCCTCGTTCGTTTTTTTTTTTTTTTTTTTGTACTTTCGCCTCTTTTTTGTGTCACAGGAAGCTTGATTTATTTCTCAAAACTTCACATTAGCTCTTGGTTTTTACAACGTTTAAAACGTAATAGACTTGTTTACGAAAGTTGCAGATAAATGTAATCCATTTTATGTTAGAACAAATTTAATGCACACATTAAAATTAAGAACGGAAAAGAGGACAGATTCACAAATTCTCGAACACAAAATAAAAAAACAACTGAGCACTGATAGCGATGACAAACAATGGATTACGCTATCGATTACATTAACATTTTCCCTTTCATATCGATTTCGATAAGTTTGATAACGACGTATGGCATGCTCACACTAGGGTCTCAATTCTTCTTCTATGAAAATGTGATATGAAAACTTTTTTAAGGAAAGAAATGTCAAATTAAAAATTAAATATTTTTAATTTCATATTTTCATAGAACATGAATCCAGTCCCAGCTTTTTTCCAGAATCTGCAAAAATCTACTACTTTTAGAGTTTTTTCGATATCATAGTTGATCTATTCCAGAATCTACAAGAATCTACTTATTTTGTAGCTCTGGAACACAGGAATATTTCTAAAATTGTTTATAGAACTGCTAGAAAGTAAACGTATTTGAATTTGAAAAATCCGGGTCCAAGACCCAGGTTAAATTCGGATCCACTAAACCTATTTTGGCAATATATGCTGTGTTCCAGAACCTGAAAGAATCTAATTTTTATGCTGTTTTTGTTTTTCGGCAGGGGCTTGAGATTTTCTCCTCTGGTTATGGCCATGGCTCAAGAAAACAGTTTTCTCAACTTCAAGGAAACTAGGAAAATCCTACTCTGTACTAGAGTCTTATGGTGTATAAACCTTTTAAACATGCAACAATTGGTTTGTTTATTTAACTTTCTTTTTTCAAAAAAATAATATACTGTGGAGAATCCCCTAAACTTTAATGAAATTTTGGGGTTTCTCATAGCCTTTGACAACACCTCATTGATCTGTATTCATGAATCCATTACATACACACAAAATCAGAGATGGGAACTGTTTTCTATGCAGCGAAATCTGACAAGGTAAATTACAGATAATGCAGAGCTGGGAATGCTTATTTGGCGTTTCCCCACAAAATTGAATCCAAGATAGGGGCTTCAGATTTCCTCCTCTGGGTGTATCCAACACCGGTTACGCGAACTAATTTTTTTCTAAATTCGATTTTTTCAGCCTTCTGCCTTGGATTGAGATTTTCTCCCCTGGACATGTTCAATACCGGCTACGCGAACGATTTTGTTTTAAATTTGATACTTTCTTTAAGTAGACGGCTTTCCAACACCGGTCGCGCAAAGTAAAGCTTTTTATAATGAAGACATGATTTCAATGTACGGAACATAATCGCCTCTTTCGGCTTCAAAAACCTTTATCTCTGGGTCCAGAAAGGTAATAACAAATATTTCCGCATTTAGGAAAGGTTATAGTACTATTTGGCATATATTTTGTGCACTATGTGGAAAATGTAGCTTTTTTCACTTTTGGGGATTTTTTAAAAAATCCGGGTCAAAAAAGCAATAATTTTGATACAATTCCGGAGCCGTATTAAATAACCCCATCATGTGCCCACTAGTTGGGTAGGTTTTCTAACTCGGATTTTGACCCGGACTTTTGGTACCCGGAATCAGGATATGAATACCTACCTCTGGAAAAATGTCAATAAGATCCGAGAGTTTTTACTAAACTAGAGCCAACCATAAAAAAGGTTTATATATGTTCTAAAATCCGTATGAATTTAAAAATGTGAGTAAATTTACATATGCTCTGTTCCAAAACCTGCAAGAATCTACTAGTTTCGTAATTTTATTCGTTATATTATTTCAAAACTAGTAGATTCTTGCAGGTTCTGGAACAGAACATAAATATATCCTGCTCTGTTCCAGTACTACTAGCTTTGCATTTTTATACCTCATATCATAAAGGGATAATCGGTTATCGTAGTAAAAACTTGTACATTCTTGCAGTTCTGGAACAGATCATATCTGGATTTTACACAGATTCATGCTTTATTCCATAATCTGTAAGAATCTAATTGTTTTGCCATTTTTTCGTTATTATAGAGGGAAAATCGGTTATCATAGTAAAAAATGTTACATTCATTCTTGCAGTCCAAATATATGCATGTGGATTTTACAGAGATTCAGTAAACTTGTGGTATTGACCTGTCACTTAATTAATATATCGATAAATTCCGAGCCGACATGCTGTTTCTAAATGCCGCCGTCAGAAATTTCTCTTCGACATTGTTTTCAGCGTCATAATTTTGGCATAACTTTTTCTTCAATTAATGAAACCGAACTTAGAACCGTGTGTAAAATATTTAACAAAAAGTGGTAGATAAGCGAAGAACAGTATTTAAATCTAACAAGGAATATAACAAATTGAACAAACACAAAATTAATTGAATTTTGTGAGTGTGTGTTCAATTTTCAACACAACCGAGCATGGCGACACAAGTATCAAGTAACAAATCTGGAACAGGTTGGCCACGGCGTGGTAGCCAAGGACAAGTTGATAGTGCGAATAATGGCGCACAGAAGTTTAGTCCAAGCCAGTCATTAACCATTAACCGTACAATAAACTTGTGAGTATAATTAATAAACAGTTGCAAATATACATTGTTGGTTGCAAAGTAGGTTAGCATTTTTTTGTTTGGCAGTGTTGCCAGATGTAGATGTGGATATATGTTGGGAATGTGGAGAAGTAAAATTACGTCCATGGAATTATCATCCCAAACATCGCCTTCTAAAAATGTATGGGGCACAGCGTAAACGTATATAAATCTACTTATTTTTGAAGAAATATTAAAAATTTTTTTAATACATGTTCCAAAGCGTTGATGCATCTCCCTGCATTCTTCTACCTTGCAATTGACTAAATTCTAAAAATTCCGAGAAAACACCAGCTGTGCACATTTTATAGAACACGGACGTCACAAGAAATAAGATTTGCACATAATAATTATCTAACGTTCAAATTTCCGTTTCAGATATCCTCTCACAAATTATACGTTCGGCACAAAGGAACCACTTTTTGAAAAAGATCCTTCAGTTCCATCCCGATTCCAGCGTATGCGTGAAGAGTTCGATCGCATTGGCATGCGCCGTTCCGTTGAAGGTGTTCTTTTGGTGCACGAACACGGCTTGCCACATGTGTTATTATTGCAATTGGGTACAACATTCTTTAAATTACCAGGAGGAGAACTTAATGCAGGAGAAGATGAAGTTGAAGGACTTAAGCGTTTGCTGACTGAAGTAAGTAAATAGAAAGTTTGAAATGACATTTTGTACTCTAAATGAATGATTTTTAAAAACAAGACGAGAAAAAAATGATGGTGGTCTGTAGAAAAAACGCCATTAGCAATATACATTTTAATTGAAACTTATTGTGGGTGTACCTATAACAACAAGAAATAAACTGTATATGTTGTTACTTTTAATCAGATTTGGCATAGATACCATCCTGCAAAAGATGATTGTGTATTGTCGTTTTGTAAACTATTTATAAAGATAATTTGGCGTTGCAAATTGAATGATGTCTTTTTAATTTCTAATACTACACTACAACAACTTCAACAGAAACTACTCAGAATGTAACGATGAGCAACAAAAAAAAAAAAATGTTGTGAACCAAATAATTAATTATGTTTCTATTCAATAAATTATTGCATTGTTATTGTATATTCGCATTGTAATTTATTTAGACTTTAGGACGTCAAGATGGTGTTAAGCAAGAATGGATTGTCGAAGATACAATTGGAAATTGGTGGCGACCGAACTTTGAACCTCCGCAGTATCCGTATATACCTCCTCACATAACAAAACCAAAGGAGCATAAACGTTTGTTTTTAGTACAACTCCACGAAAAGGGTAACGTTTTTATATAAATTTTAAATTCTTCCTATTTGTATTTGTTAATGATGTCTAGTATTTAAGATAGATTCTATGTAATATTGAGGCAAATTAGAAGCAATATGTATGTATATATGTGTGCAAGTTGTGTAGTTTGAAAATGTCTCACTTAAAATCTTCGTCGAATTTTTTAAGTTTACAAATTTAATAATTTAAAATTCCCGCATAGTATTTATATTTTTTCTACTTTTAATTTATTGTATAAACAGAAGAGATTACAGGTAATCTCTTCTGTTTATACAAAAAATTAAAAGTATAAAAAATATAAATACTATGCGGGAATTTCAAAATACACTTTGCACATATATTCTTATTATTGTAATCATATAACGAATAATTCTTTACATATTTTATGTTTCTCCTTGTATAGGATAATCTCTGGCAAAAGTTGTTAACAGCCAGCTTTGTGCCAAATAGAATATGTATTCGATTCATGTGCTTTGTACCTAAATCTTTCAGGATATCTCGATACATTCCAAAGCAGTTTTTCGAATAAAGAATTCGTATAGCGCACATTTTGTTTAATTTTCCGGTACCCGAATAACTACAAATGCCGTTCAAATTCTTTTGCCATTTTTCACTATATGTGTAAATAGTTGTTTGAATTTTGTGAATATGTCTCGTATGTGTAAAGACATATGTTTTTGTTTCAAACATATTACAAAAAAATGTATTAATTTTGTTCAAGAATTTGAATCGGATCCTATTTATGATAAAAATAAAGAAATTTAATTTAAAAATATGTAAATTCACTTCAAGAAATACTATTCAAATTAATGTCTTCCTATGTTGTATAGGCTACATAGTTGTTAACTAGGATCATAGTTTTAGGAAAAAATTGTTTTGAATGTCAAGTAAAATATGTAAAATTTTATGAAAATAATGGCGTTCTATACTTGACTTGATAAATTGGAAATTTTGTACCCATAACATATTATATAGAAGCTATGTTTTCATATTCAATAAATATAATCGAAACATGACCATTGTAAATCTTCTAGTAACCATAATAAGAGGTGCAACAATAATTTTCCTTCGACAAGTTTTGTGTTGACATTGTCTTGGCAGAAATAATGCAGTGCCAAACAAGCTCTAATGTTATAGACAGTCATTACTAAAAAGAAATTAAACAATAATTTTAATAGCATTAGTAAAATTGTATTCTTTGTATATTTATGCTATTTTTGAACACTTGTTTATGTTTTCTGTTTATAAAATTTCATCTATTATTTCATAAAAATAACAAGTTTGTAAATATTAACTTTTACAAGCAAAAAATAATTATAAGAATAACCCTATAACGACACCTAAAAATATGATAGACACAAGTTCCAAAACTCAAAATATTTGAAAAATTTAGGAAATTATTTTTTTAGTCCTAAGAATCTTCATTAAAATTTGTTTTATTTAAAAATTATAAATGTCTATTATTGTAATTCTTATTTTTTATGTTTTTCTTAAATAGCTCTGTTTGCTGTGCCCAAAAATTACAAATTGGTAGCTGCGCCCTTATTTGAGCTTTATGATAACTCACAAGGCTATGGACCGATTATTTCATCGCTGCCGCAAGCATTATGCAGGTTTGTTAAAATTTCCATTTTCTGTCAAAAATATTTTCTACATCCTTTTAACTCTTCTTTTTGTTACAGATTTAATTTCATATATATGTGAGTAGAGTGTGCCTCTACCACAATGCCGGCGTCTACATATCTACAACAAAGCTCCTATTCAAATAGAGCTCTAGAGCCACAAACAGATGACGCGGAAAACTATGATGATTATATGGACTCGAATTTGTTGCACCATACAAATGTCCATAATTTTTGAACATTTCAAAATTTATTATATTAAAATACACATACAAAAAAAATTAATTATTTAATAATAAACAAAATCCAATTTATTTAGATTTTATAAATAGAAAGCAAAACATACCCAATAGAACGACTAAATATTATTCTACATAGCAAATGAACGGCAATAATTTAAAGTGATTTGTTTTAATTAAAAACAAAAAAATGTTGGGTAAGTTTTTGTTATTATATCATAAAACACATTTCGACCAGTTCTCTCATAAATCCATTTATATCCTTTCGGTCAGAAGAATAATGTATTCTGTTATGTCATGAAAAACATTTCGACCAGTTCTCTTATAAATATATTTATATCCTTTCAGACAGATTCTGAATCATTTGATTTTATAACACTGTGCAACGCAAAAAATAATTACAGTATAAACTCAGCACATTATGAAAGTGAGACTAAAAATGGAAGTATATCGGCGTTTTGAAAGCATCGCAAAATTACCTTAATACAAGGGACAAGTTCCCTCACTTCTGCTTTTTTTTTTAATTTTCAGATTATGATTCCTAGAATCCATACGTTTTAGTTACATTGTGTGTTTGCAATATTTTGTTCAAAACCCCTCAAGCGATTTACCAAAGGGTCGTTGTTCCACACAAATTTATTTGTCGTAAAATTCTACTACATACAGGGTGAGATGAAAAAACTGCAAACCAACTTCTGACTGCTTTCATATCTAAGCCACTCATCCGACAGCTGTTAAAATTATTCCAGTAAAGCAAAAGCATTTTGGTGAGAATTTTCCAGAAAAAAAGTTATTCGTGATGGAATTCAAGCGTGACGGTGAGATTTATTTATATTTGGCAAGTGACTATCGCCAGAACACTCCAGCATTTAAATGTGAATAAATCCTTGTGTCTCGTACCATCGCTCGTTACCGTGATACTGGTAGTGTAGCCCGACATCAAGGAAGTGGACGGAAGAAAACAGACTTTGGACATTTCAACAGTACTCAGCACAATAGTTACAACATGAGGTTCCTCTATTCATTTCCAGCGCACAATGGCCATCAAAATCTCCGGATACCAATCCATTGGACTATTGTGTCTGGAGTAGTTTGGAAAGCTACGCGTTGTCGCACTCGTTCAAGTGCTGCAACTAAAAATGTTGGTATTTTGTAAAATTTTCAATTACGTCTTTTTTGTAATAAATGTGAAAAGGAATGGTGCTCCGGAATAACAAACAATTGTACAAATTACGAGCTGTCCGGCTAAAAGAAATAAAAGCGTCAATTGAAAAAGTTGAAGTAAAACGATTATTTGTTTCATTAAATATTGAAATATGTTAAGAGTTGGCAATTTTTATCTGAGGATGAATATATTCAAAATGATTTAAACGTAAGGCGAAAAATATTGCGGCAAGAGCCTAACATATTTTCGATGACTGACTCCGAATAAGTAAAGGCTTATTTGTGTTTACAGGCATACTGGATGACTAGAACCTGCTCTTGTTGCGCATTTCAATGTAGAGTGTTTACAGAACAGTGTGGCTTGTTTGTTCGGGATACCGTAGTATTTTGTTGTTGCAAAATGGTCAGGCTTTATTGTTGTTTTTATAAAAACAACGTTTGTTTATTAGTGGAGAACGATGGTAAATAAACAAACGTTGTTTTTATAAAAACAACAATAAAGGGATAAGGCCTGACCATTTTGCAACATTTTGCACACATGTTTATTTTGCCAGTAGACAGGTTAAGTTGGTAAATGGGCCATGTAGGTCCACGTTTTCATATAGCCCCCATTTAACGGTACCTCCCGATATTCGGTATTTGTATGATTTAAGCGACATTATTCACCGGAATTGTTTAAAATTTGGTATTTGAAGTTCGAAATGGATACTACAGGCTAAGACAGAAAATTGTCAGTGCAGGTCCACGTCTTCGTATAGCCCCCATATAACGGTATCTCCCTATGTTCGGTATTTTGATGATTTAAGCGACATTATTTACCAGAATTGTTTCAAATTTGGTGTTTGAAGTTCGAAATGGCCTTCGTATAACCCCCATATAGAGGTACCTGCGATATTCGGTATTTTGACGATTTTAGCGACATTATTCACCGGAATTGTTTCGAATTTGGTATTTGAAAATCGAAATGTATACGGGAGGATATGCAAAGTTCGGCCCAGCCGAACCTACTGCTTTTTAACTTGTCTCAATTTGAATTTGCTGTTAATTTGTCAAATTTAGATTCATTTGCTAGTTCTGGATCATTTCGTCGAATCGTTTCTTTGTAGTGATTTTTAATCTAACTAGGAAAATAGTACCAGTCGGTTGTGCCGACAGATGTATACCCCAGCCTAGAGTTATGATTATTCAAATTGTTGACCCTCTATGGAATAGGTTTGTTGCAGGCCGTTCACATGCGGCGCAAAAAGGCAACAAATATATGGGGCCGTGTTTTTTGGCAAAACCTGTCCACAACCACCGCAGAAATTATCCCAATTCTGTTGGTAGTGCATCCCATAATTGGTCCTCAAATGGATTTGCTCAGTTTTCCTGGGTTTTTAGTGAGGATGGTGAGGATGCTTCGAGATTTCAATTTGCTTGTAATTTCTGCGGGGTGTGTAGTCCGGGTGGCGATGGGATCAAAATGCCGGAAATGGTTTGTTAGGGTTCGCTACGTACGAAATTAGGCTCGAACAGGGTTGAGTAAAAGAGTATTATAAAGGTAGTAAATGACAGGGTGACTCAGGCTAAGAAGTGACTAGGCAGCCCTATGATTGCTGAGTAGGTGGGAACCTACTATAAATATGATAAAAATTTTGTTTAGACACAATTTGAATGAATGATTATGAAAAAAAAAAGCGGCACGTTGAAATAAAAATTTAAGAAATATCAGAAGAATAGAAAAACAAAAGATTTCGAGAGAAATAATTAAAATGTTTTTGCTGATGTCTCGCTGCCGTATAAGGTTAAAGGAAATTGGCGTTGTTTGGGGTAATTGGCGAGTTGGTAACGTAAGTGAAAAGGGTTGGGCGAATAGTTAGACAGCCGTTGATTTTTAAATGAGAGACTCAGGGGTGAGGTGAAATGAGAATTCACAATAAAAAAAAAAAATGGCTATTGACAGTTGAAAAGAAAAAGGAATGAAAATTGAAAATGGTTCAGGAAAATGGTGTTTCGTGGAAAATGAGCGTCTGGCGGGATTCACTGAGAAGAGGGGTATAAAAGGCTGCGAGCATAAGAAAAGCCAAAGTTAAGAATAAGACGTTACCGGTGAAACTTAGCTAGAGAGCAGTGAAGAAGTGGAAAAATTTAATTTGTGTGTTGCGATTTTTTTTTATTGTGTAAGTAGTTTGTAACAGTGGTTTGTTGAGTATTGTGTTGTTATATGTGATGTGTGTTGCTCCAACAGGAATATTCCGGTGGTGTATCAAGCCTTTTTTGGAAGCACCGAAAATTGTCCGGTTTTGGTCAGCACAACGGCGGGAAATTGCCTTTTCTTTTTGGTAACGCAAGGTAGTGGCAAGTTGTCCACAGGAAAAAAAAGCCAAAAAAGTTACATTGAGGGTGTGGAGATTTGAATTGTAAACTGGCCAGCTGCAACTTTGAGCTTTTTGCTGTGCCGGTTATTGATCCCGCCCAGAACGCCGGCATTGTAAAAGGACCAGTCAACAAGTCCAGCTTCATTTGAGGGTTTGCCTGGCGTTCAAAATCTGTTTCCTCCGGAAAGAAGCGTAAACTGGAAGGAGAGATAAGAAGAATTAATCAATAACGTTATAAATCACTGCTCAGGTAAAAGGTGTCTTACCGTTGTGTTGTCCTTGATATATTTATATATATATATGTGACGTCCATAAAATTTGCTGTCTCCTTTTTTTGGAACTAAAAGAAAAGAAAAAAAGAGTTAATAATCATAAATTTCGAAAAAAAAAATATAATATTCAGTATAAAGATTTAGTAATAAGATAGGTTATAGTTCTTAGGATTTAAGTAATAATCAGTTTGTAAGGGAAAAATACCGCGTTTATTTTCAAAGGCTAGGAGGTGTTACAGTAAAATTATCTTGAGTCCTTGTGATTCGATCTGATAGTTTAGGCCGTGGAATTTTAGCGGCAATTAGGCCGGTTAAGAGAGCTCTTTTAGGTGGCTAGTAATTTCGTATAGACGCGTGAATATTGCGCGGGAAAAGCAAGGCAAAGGATAATATATTGGTTTCTACCGAGTAATTAAAGCCATAGATTTAAGAAAGCCCGGTATTATTCTTAATTTGTTTTTTTTTATACCATACAGTTTGTCAATTTTAGTGTAAGAAAAAAAATAGTAGAGAAAAAAATTAAGAAAATATTTAAAGCTAACTTATTTTTTTTTTAATAAAATTAAAAATGATTCTTTTGTAAACAGTAGATACTAATATGTGTTGCTAAATTTGTATAACTTGAGGGGGGGAAGGTGGTATGAAGTAAGTGTGTGATTCAAAGCGTGTGGTTCAAGGGGATTCAGAGAAACGCAAGAAATGGAAATACTGGATCCAGGTAGGGTGGGCGAGTGTGGGATCGATCCACCGAGATCCCTGTATGATGACTCCTATTTTGTATATCGTAGAGTAGAGCAATTGTAGTAAAGTCCCCTTTCAATGTTAGTGTGTTGGATTCGATTGGCGGGTTGAGATCCCTAGCCCTGGGAGTCTCTGTGACAGTCGGATGGCCTAATCGTATGCCGAGCAAATGCACACATAACAGGTTCCGAAGAAATGGACGTATATAAATATAAATATCACGACGTGCCAGATTCGGACTATATCGGCTACTTCCTATATGTACCTACTATAATATGTAACAGATTCTTCATCTAATACAAATAAAAATATTGGTATGTGCAAAATTTTCAGGAAATCGACTTTCATATATGTTGTTGTGTGTAACTTGAAGACAAATTGACAATTACATCACATCTTTTAAGAGTTATAATTTTTCAAAATTTTAACCCTTTGTGGGGGAGGTACTTGATGGAGTGAACCAATATTGTCCATTTTCGTATGCAAATATTAGGATTTGCAAAGTTGGAGCAAAATTGGATTATCCTTTCTCTTTCTGTGCAGTAAATGATTTTCTTTGAAAGTGTTGGCATTTTGTGGGGGAAGTACCAGAAGTAGTGGACCGATACGATGCAGGAAGTTTGGATCAAATCGAATACTCGACGGAGGGACGGATGGACAACGCTAGATCGACTCCAAATGTCCTGAAACGAATTTGGACCAAAGAGACCTAGGGTCTAAAACCGTTATTTCGATGAGGCACATTTTGACCGTATCAAATGATATATACCCTACCCTCTCTAGCCATATGGCTGAGGGTATAAAAAGCGAAATGGTGTACATGCATATGTTTTGTTTAATGTTGATACAAACTTTTTATTCAAATCCCTTTTGTATATTATTTATTCCTTTGTAAAGTCTCCAACGTTTGTCGAATACTACAGCCTCTTGTGGTACGAAAATTGTAACAGAATTGTAATTTCGCGCATATGACACACATAATACCAATTAGTCGTTATGGCACGTCAAATTGTAATTTTTAGTTATTATTGTAATTCCGGCTCTTTTTACATAATACCTTATAAACAATTTAAAAAGCAGTAAGTTCGGCCGGGCCGATTTTTGAATACCCTCCATCATTTGGAACGATTTTAGCAATTTTCTAAAAAAAATCGTAAAAAATGATGTTAAAATCTTAATGTAGCCGTCATATTAGAGTCTATACGACGACGTGATCCTGTCACAAACCATTATAATATTCAAATGCGAAACTTGAATAAAAGAATTCGGTGAATAATTTAGGTAAACTCATCAAAATACCGAATATGGGGAGGTCCCAGTATATGGGGGGCTAAACGAAGACGTAGACTTCCGGTGAATAATGTCGTTAAAATCATTCAAATATCGAATATAGAGAGGTATCGAATATAGAGAGGGGCTATACGAAGACGTGGACCTGCACAGACAATTTTCTGTCACACGCTGTAGTATCCATTACGAACTTCAAACACCAAATTTGAAACAATTCCGATGAATAATGTCGCTAAAATCATCAAAATACCGAATATAGGGAGATACCGTTATATGGGCACTATACGAAGACGTGGGCCTGCACAGACAATTTTCTGTCACAGGCTGTAGTATCTATTACGAACTTCAAACACCAAATTTAAAACAATTCCGGTGAATAATGTCGCTAAAATCATCAAAATATCGAATGGAGAGGTATCGAATATAGATAGGGGCTATACGAAGACGTGGACCTGCACAGACAATTTTTTGTCACAGGCTGTAGTATCCATTACGAAATTCAAATACCAAAATTTGAAACAATTCCGGTGAATAATGTCGCTAAAATCATCAAAATACCGAATATGGGGAGATGCCGTTATATGGGGGCTATATGAAGACGTGCAATTTTCTGTCATAGGCTGTAGTATTCATCACGAACTTTAAACACCAAATTTTAAACAATTCCGGTGAATAATGTCGCTAAAATCATCAAAATATCGAAAAAAGGAGGTACCATTATATGGTGGCAATACCAAAACGTGGACCTACATCACCCATTTTCAGTACCAAAAGTCCTGCAGACATAATACACATTAGAGTAAAATTTTATCAACCTACTTCATTTCGTTCGGAAGCTACAGTTATTGCCACAGACGGATAGACGGACGGACATCGCTAAATCGAGATAGAATTTTATGCTGATGAAGAATATATATATATATATATATATATATATACTTTGTGGGGTCTAAAATGTATATTTCGAGGTGTTACAAACAGAATGACAAACTTAATATAATATGTTGATACGCAACTTACCCATATATAATTCTAATAAAAGAGGGAAATATTTTTCATATATTTTTATTAAATTCTTTATTCAATAAACATGTCATTCATACAATGTTGGCTTGACACAAATACAATGCTTGTTTTTTTTTTTTTTTTTTTTTTTGATGAGTATTAGAAAGGAGCATATAGTTCGTAAATATAGTATGTTTTGATAAGAATTTATAAAAGTTGTAGGTCTAAAGGGCCTGTATTATATATCTGTTGTTTATGTTATAATAGACACACATACATATGAAGGAAAGTATGCGTGAGTGTGTAATTAATTTTTAGCTGCTTAGAGTATATAATCAGCATTTAATTTCTCATATGTTTGACCACTGCAATTGGAAGAAATACATTGATGATGATATTATTGTTATTATTGAGTCGTTAATATTCTGAAATTTGTATACTTTGTATTTCGAAAATAAATTTGAAAATAAAAATAAGGTTTTTGTTAGTTTCTCTTATTTAATTACAATATATAAAATTGTATATAATTCTTTTTCTTACTATATATTCTTATTTGGTTAAATATACTGAGTTGAGTACATACTTTTAGTTTGTGCTAATATTTTCATTTGTTGTTTGTAAATGTTCGCTGAAATTGTGGAAATTTCATTTTGTTAAAGTATTTATGTAAGTGTATTAGTGTGTTCAGTATTAATTATTGCGTGATGTGTAGGTGTGTTATAAAGCAAATGCACTGGAATGCAAACACTAGGCAAAAAGTCAAAATTAAATTTTGTTTTGGGGAAAGATATTCTGCAAGAATCTACTAGTTTTGCAATATTTTTCAATTTCCTAAAGGCAACAAGTTTTACATTTTTGTATTTCTGGAACAGACACCATAAGACAGAAAACGTCAGATGGTTTCAAATAAGTTTTTAATAAATTTAAAAATTGCTCTATTCCGGAAACTGCAAGAATCTACTATTTTTTCGATATCACAAAAGGAAGAAATCGTTTTCATAGTAACTTTGTTATTGCAAAATGGTCAGGCTTTATCCCTTTATTGTTGTTTTTATAAAAACAACGCTTGTTTTTTAGTGGAGAACGATGGTGATGTTTACCAGGGGGTAAGGCTGGGAATAGTTAGGTTTCGGAAAGAGTCGCCAATCCTTACCAGTTCCCTCGTTTTTTGTCTGGGATATTCTCCCCAGAAATTATTTTAAAAGTAATTTCTATGACAAAAACGTTTTTTACCCAAGCGATGAGATGGTAAGCTCAATAGAAGAGGAACCAAAGAATTAAATAAAACTAAAATTTATTTGGAAAGTCTTCTAAATCCCACAAACGCACTTATAAACATTTACATTTTTCTCCACTTGTTATGCTTTCGTTCAACCTGAACGAAGTAGAAGAACATAGGTAGACGCATCGACACAGCTGCTGGGACAATGAACTGTCAAACCAATTTTGGAATTGAAAATTTTGAATGAAAAATGATTAAAATTTATAAAAATTGTTGAAAAACGCGAATTATAAAAACCTCCGAATGACGTCATATAAAAAACATAAAAATCTACTTATATTTGAAAGAACATTTAAAATGTTTTTGACATATCAATGTTCCCAAGCATTGATGCATCTACCTGTATTTTTCTACCATAAGCATAACCATGTAAGTTGGTTTTGTCTGTCACAACAAAAACCCCTTCGTCTACCGTGCCTTGTCTATTAATAGAACAGTGTTGGCTTGTTTGTTCGGGATACCGTAGTATTTTGTTGTTGCAAAATGGTCAGGCTTTATCCATTTATTGTTGTTTTTTTTTTTATAAAAACAACGTTTGTTTTCGAGTGGAGAACGATGGTAATATTTACCAGGGGTAGTAACTTTTTTGTATTAGGTGTGTTTGGTTACCCTAAAATTTGTAACAACTGTTACTGAAAGTTGTCTGCTAACCCGAAAGCTCTGCAAAAGAGAGCGGTCGGAGAGAGACATTTTGACAGTTCTTTCAGTGAGAGTTTGCAAATTCTTTTCTGGACAAATTCCTTCTTGCAATAGGTGTGTCTGGTTACTTTTCCTGCAGGAATTGTCCAGCAACATCTTTCTGAGAGAGTAAGGTAGTTTTATTCTCTTTGGCAAGGAAATTGCGAAAAGTAAACAGACGGTATTCCTGCAGAAGCTTGCAACTAATCAGCTGATTTGTCAAAACAAACCAATTTGTCCCCCGTTAAAAGAATTAAACGAAAGGAACCACCACCAATTTCACAATTTTTATAAATAAAAAGGAAATTGACAATAAAATAAAAATATGAGCAATAAAAGGAAGATAGATTTGCTGTGTTCCGCGGAATCCTTTGAACCTGTTGCTAGTGGCATTTGTCTAAAAATGTTGGAAATAGTTTTTTATTTTTTATTATTACATATTGATATTTATGTTTTTCACATTTTGTTAAGTTGTTCTCCAAAAACAATTAGTCTTGCTAATTCCAAAACAATAGTTGTATTCCAGAACCTGCAAATTAGTACTAATTAGCACTTTTTCTGCTACAACGCGTTCCCTTACTCCAAAAACTAGCAAAACTTGCAGCTCTCTCGAGAAAAAAATGGCGCTGAGTGCTGCACATTTCTGCTTGTTTTAGCTACATGAATTTGGCCGAGCAGAAATGTGCATATTGTAAATTTGACATTTAATTGGCAGGGCTAACAAGGTTGAAAAATGTATTGATACATTTCAATAAAGAAAATGATCAACATGAAAACTAAAGGAAAAAGCTATATATGTCGTGCAAAAAACAAAAAGAGAAAATATGGAGCAACTGATGTATTCACTTTTGGATGATTCCAGCAGTGAAGAGGACTGGCTGAATGAGGAATCAGATTATTAATTATTATTATAAATTATTAATTTTAACTTATCGTCTTCAATACTCATTTTTTAAATGTTGGCGCTCTTTTCAGTAAGGTTTCACCAGTCCGATTTAGGTTGTTTACTTTTGGAATTTTGAATTTTGACATTTTATCGCATTTCTGCTAATTTTCCGTTCCCTTATTTTTTGAGCAAACCTAAATGAGAATGACATTTCGAACTGTTCTCTCTTCTGCTAGTTTTACTACTAAAAAAGTACTGGAACACAACTAATATTTTCAAATTAACATCACAAAAAAAAGAAATAAATAAACAAATGAAAACATCTGATTGAATGTCGATGAATTAGAAGAAGAAGAGTTGCAAGTGATTGCAAGAAGAAATTTGTCCAGCAAGAATTTGCAAACTCTCACTGAAAGAACTGTCAAAATTTCTCTCTCCAACCGCTCTCTTTTGCAGAACTTTCGGGTTAACAGACGACTTCAAGTAACAATTTGTAACAATTGTTACAAATTTTAAGGTAACCAGACACACCTAATCACTTGCAACTCTTCTTTTTCTTCTTCTCATTCATCGACATTCAATCAGATCTTTTCTTTTGTTTGTTTATTTCTTTTTGTGCTTCCATTTTGAATCCTTTTTTGGAATTAGCAAGACTAATTGTTTTTGGAGAACAACTTTACGAAATGTGAGAAACGTTAATATTAATATGTAATAAGAAAATAAAAGACTATTTCCAACATTTATAGACAAACGAAATTAGCTACACATTTAAAGAATTCCGGGAAACAGATCAAATCTATCTTTCTTTTATTGCTCATATTTTAATTTTATTTCTAATTTCGTTCTTCGTAGATGAACAAAGGAGTTTCAGGTTGACTTTCCGATTTTGACCCTAGACTCCTTTGTTCATTTCCGAAGAAGCCAGCCGATGACTTAAGCCAGCCAGATAAGAGCTTTATGTATTCCCACCTTAAAACTTGTAAAATTGGTGATGCTTCCTTTCTTTTAATTCTTTTAATGGTGGACAAATTGGTTTGTTTTGACAAATCAGGTGATTAGTTGCAATTTTCTCCAGGAATACCGTCTTTTTACTTTTCGCATTTCCTTGCAAAAGAGAATAAAACTACCTTAGTCTCTCAGAAAGATGTTGCTATTATTGCAGCTTTGCAACAAAATATTTTAATTGTCAACGTCATGAAAAGAAACGGCAATGAGATAATGGGTCTGTTCCAGAATTGAAAGAATGTTAAAGTTTTTACTATGATAAGCAATTTTCCCTTTATGATATCGAAGAAAATTGCAAAACTAGCAGAGTAGTGAATACTTTTTTTTGAATGAGAAGAAGAAGAGAAATTTTTCCAGCAAGAATTTGCAAACTCTCACTGAAAGAACTGTCAAAATTTCTCTCTCCAACCGCTCTCTTTTGCAGAACTTTCAGGTTAACAGACGACTTCCAGTAACAATTTGTAACAATTGTTATAAATTTTAGGGTAACCAGACACACCTATTCAATCAGTTCTTTTCTTTTGTTTGTTTATTTCTTTTTGTGCTTTCAATTTGAATTTTTTTTGGAATTAGCAAGACTAATTGTTTTTGGAGAAATGTGAGAAACGTCAATATTAATATGTAATAAGAAAATAAAAGACTATTTCCAACATTTATAGACAAACGAAATTAGCTACACGTTTAAAGAATTCCGGGAAACAGATCAAATCTATCTTTCTTTTATTGCTCATATTTAAATTTCATTTCTAATTTCCTTTTAATTTCTAAGGGTGCAAGTACATAAAGAGCTTGAAGTCATGGCTAGGCATATTTTGTGACATTTCCAACCTTAAAACTTGTAAAATTGGTGGTGCTTCCTTTCTTTTAATTCTTTTAATGGTGGACAAATTGGTTTGTCTTGACAAATCAGCTGATTAGTTGCAATTTTCTGCAGGAATACCGTCTTTTTACTTTTCGCATTTCCTTGCAAAAGAGAATAAAACTACCTTAGTCTCTCAGAAAGATGTTGCTATTATTGCAGCTTTGCAACAAAATATTTTAATTATCAACGTCATGAAAAGAAACGGCAATGAGATAATGGGTCTGTTCCACAATTGAAAGAATGTTAAAGTTTTTACTATGATAAGCAATTTTCCCTTTATGATATCGAAGAAAATTGCAAAACTAGCAGAGTAGTGAATACTTATTTTTTAAGTAATACCACCGTCCTTATGCGAGCCACACACAAAGCAACTATTTGTACAACTTGGAGAGGTTGTATTCAAGATTGTATCGTTTGTGGCCCGGTTGTACGAAGTTGTGTCTCGGTTGTACAAAAAATTAAAATTTTTTGACATTTGTCGTGTTGGACTAACCGATTGTAATGTTTGTGGGCATGTTGCATACAGTTTCATTTTGTGTTTATTTTCAAAGAGGCAACACCATTGTTTCGCACATCAAAACAACACAAAATCCAATCAAATGTGTGATTTCAATGAAAATAAAAAAAAAAATTAAAATATATATAAAACGGAATTTCAAAAATTAATAATAATTAAAGGCTATTAAGTAAATTATGGAGCACGAAATTATTTCCGTTGTCATCTTAACTCAAATGAACTCTTCGAAAAGTGAAGTTTTACAAAGCGGTTGTATACAAATTTGTATCGTTTGGGGCCGAAGCATACAACTTGACAACCCTCCAGGTTGTACCAACGGTTCTATTGTGTGTGGCTTGTATTAGATTTTGTGATAAATTAAAATATTGGAATTGACATGCATGCTGAATGCTTTTGCTTTATTTTTTTCTATAACAAAGTGCAGAATTGTGCATTTATATATTTTACCTAGGAGTAACATTTAGGTACTTAAGGTTCATTGGTATTAGCTGGAATAATATAAAATTAAGCTATTTTTTATTTTATAAACAGAAGCCAGAAGCAAATCAATTAGACTAACATAAACAGAACAATAAGAAATAATATTTAAATAAAAAATATGTGGCGTAAATGAGAAGGAATATTTGAAGGAATTTATGTTAATTAGCTTTTGTTTTTGTGTCGTATTTTGTTCCAATTTTTAAAGAGAATACTATGGACTTTGCTATAACATGATATGCATTTATGATATGGAATCTCATGGAGTTTTGCGAAATTTTGGGAATAGATATGTATGCGGTATAATACTTATAGTCCATATTTTGATATTGGCTTCCTTGGGACATCGCTGTAAACGATTGAAACTATTCAAAAACACTTTTCCTCTGTAAAGGAGATGTAAAGGTGCGTTTTCAGTATGGTTTAAATAGATTTAGTGGGTCAACACTCCGTATTAAGATCATAGATGTACAAAACTGCTCAAAAACGTACGTTAACGGCACTGGTTATATGCGTATTCTCTTTTCGTCAGCGATTTTTGATGGTGAATTCTCAGTTACGCTCATTCTCAATTTAGTTATGCACATCATTGATTACTAGCACATGAGTCCGCAAAATAGAATTTTAAGAGAAAATTACTATTTTATTTTTTCTTGCATTCAATGATTTAGTTCAAATGTTTTTAAATATTAAGGTGGTCCAAAAGTATAAATGGAGCTCATAATTAACCATAAAGAATTCCGCCCACGGTTATGGTTGTCGTTTCTATAGTCATCGTCGACGTTATGGGCAAGTCGCCATTGCCGTCGCTTCGATTCAAAAATGGCATTACGTTAAGGCCATGGTATAATTATTGCAGGTAACAGCAAGTCCCAGCTGATTTGATTCTATAGTAATACTAGTGTCATGCTCGATATGACGTTTTGTGATTAAATTCCATGGTAGAAGAATATAGGTAGATGCATCAACGCCTGAGAACATTGATGAGTCAAATTTTTTTAAATGTTCTGTCCAAATTGAGTAGATTTTTATATCTTTTCTTATGCGATGCAAATCGGAGTTTGTCAAAATATGTATTTTTCAACAATTGTTACAAATTTCAATAACTTTTTATTCAACATTTTTAATTTCAAATTCGGTTTGACAGTTCATTGTCCCAGCAACTGTATCGATGCGCCTACCTGTATTCTTCTACCATGTTAAATTCAATTTCTTCATATATAATAGGTATACCCTTTTTTTGATATAAAATGTTACTGCAGGGCAATGTGAACATATTTTTTGCCTAATAATAGAAAAAAATCGCCGTTGTACTTAACAAAACTCCAACGGCGATGGTGCGTGGTTAAAAAGCAGCGACACATAATTGACGAAAGCGACGATTGCTTGAAGTGTTGAGAGATTAGGACCAACATCTAACAACTATACATTTAGGGGAAGGATGTAAAAGCGTTAAAATTAAATAATTGAGGAACTATGCTTCTGCACATGGTGCAATAAGCAGGTAGAACAGCTTCGTAAAACTACAGTAATACAGCCCTGTTCGAATTATTCAAAATTATGGGCAACAAATTGTTTTCATTTATTTGATATTTTTTGTTCATTTTTAAAATAAGTCAAACCGCGCTAAAGATGGATGAAATGTCTGGATGTTCTCTAAAAAAACATGATCATAAGTGTTCAATCTTTCAATTACAAATGGCAAATCTGCTTAATATCTTTAATGTGCGCCCCGCAATTTAAGTTTCTTATTTTTCAAAACCACAAATACATACACAAAATTGGCAGAAGTCGGGTAAACTTAGAAGAAAAATGTAATCAGACGATAGCTCTACCTTCCTTTTTTATTGTACCATGCTTGTGCATTTTCAATTTAATAATCCAAATTCCTAAAAAGTATATTTTTGACATTTTTGGACACATAACTCTGACACTTGTATTACGTACAAAAATAAATTCGTATGTTGTTGTTGTACAACAACACTTGCTGTTACCTGTATTATTCTACCATGCGGTAAGGCATAGAATCGACATCGACAGTTTAAAAAAAGTGGCAACACTCCCTTGTTGTTGACAAGAAAGACAAAATAAATGGTTTGTATTTTGAATCTTAATTAAAATCTACTCATTCAGCATAAGGTCCTTACCATGATCCAAGTATAAGGTCCCCCTTCCAGCTAAGCAGATTACCAGACGTTCTGTCAATTAAATTTGAATTCGCTGCAACAAAAACAAACTTCAAAACGATGGTAGAAGAATACAGGTAGTCGCATTGCATAGCTGCTGGGGCAATGAACTGTCAAACCAATTTTTAAGTTAAAAATTTAAAATGAAAATTTATTCAAAAAATTATTGCAATGCTTGGGAACATTAATATGTCAAAATTGTTAAAATGTTTTGTCAAAAATAAGTAGATTTTTATACGTTTTCTAATACGAGGTTGTTATGATATGCAATTTTTACAAATATCAACAATTTTTCGTTTAACATTTTTAATTTACCATGTACCATGTGTTATACATACAAAAAATGCGACAAACATATTCGCCACAAAATTCTTCTGTCAAGGCGAAAGTATTTATTTTCGCCTCAAGCATGAATTTTGACATTTCATCTGGTTACTTAACCGTTTTGACGGTTAAGTAACCGGATCGACCAACGTTACATTGCTAAACGTGTCCTTTAATACCTTTTTGTGAATGCTATAAACGAAGAGGAGTTCCACATTGCCATTTCAAGACCTTGTCGCTATGAAGAATTAGGATAAGATAACGTGTGTTTATTCGAAATAGGCAAGGAAGACAAAACTTCGTCTAAGCCAATAGAGCAGTGTGGACTCAGATAGTTTTGTTCCAAATCCAAAAATTGTTTCGCTAGATTAACAAGAGAAGTTACTCTTCAAATCAGTTAGCGTTAAATCGCTAAATCTTACTGAGCTCCTGTTATTAATTTTCGCGTTCCTGTTAAGAAATGACTCACTATTTACAAGATTAAGGCTAATTTTTTGCCGTCGTAGACAAGCTCAGATCCTTGTAGGGGACCCGGCAAATTTTAATAAAACATATTCTCTTTCCCTGAACATTTCTGCAGCACGTTCAAAAAGGAAAGTTTTGTTTTAAACAAAGGTGAGTTAAGGTGAAGGAGTTCATCCGTTCCATTATTATCATTAACTTAGATTCCATTTAAGGACATTTGCATTGAGTGACTTGGAAGTTAACTGTTATAAAACGCGTTAAATGTGTTCGTTATATCCCATAGCATGGTAGAAGAATACAGGTTGTCGCATCGACACAGCTGCTGGGACAATGAACTGTCCAACCGAATTCGGAATTTACAAATAAAATAGTATCAGTCGGCCTTGTCGTCAGATGTATACCCCCAGCCTTGAGTAATGGTATTTCACACTATTGACCCTTTATGGGGTAGGTTCCGAAGCAATTGGGCAATATTGTCCAATGCGTATCTGACCTAAGTCTGTTATAAATATTACAAAGTGCCAAAATCGTCTACTTCCTATACTTAATATATGATATGAGCATTTTTTTGGGAAAATGTGGACATATGCGTGAGGTACTAGATATAGCGGACGGAAATATTCCACTTCATCCAACACAGATAAAAATATTGGCATGTGAAAAATTTAAAGGAAACGGACAATTATATCATTTATATCAGATTTCTGTTTAAAAGAAATATTTACATATAGCAAGTTATATAGAATCGCCGACTTGTTTCGCTAGTTATAACAGATATGGGAGAAGTACCAGAAGGAGTGCGCCGATATATCCCATTTTCACTGCAGATATTGTTTCAGTAAAAATAATGGCATGTGTTATAACAAATTATAACAGATCGAAATCGAAATTTGAGATGTACCAAGTCTGAAAGGAATTGGATGTTAAGTTCGCGTTTTATGAGCTTCATGAATATTCAAAATGTTGACACTTTGTGGAGGAAGTACCAGAAGGAGTGGACCGATATATTCCATCTTCACACCAGACCTTGGGTTAATAAAAAATATTGTGATGTGTGTAATTTGAAGACAGGAAGGACAGACAGACGGAAGCTTACATCACAATTTATATGAGTTATTATTCCAAATGAGTTTATTCAAAATTTTGACTGTTTGTGGTTCAAAACTGATACAATTATTAGGATTCGCAAAGTTGGAGCAAAATCGGATTATCATTTTTTCTTGGTGTTCAGTAATTTTATTTCCTTTGAAAATGTTGACATTTTGTATGGGAGGTACCAGAAGGAGGGGACCGATTTGCCCTCTCCGAAATCGATCTAAGTTTGACAACAATATTACGATATACCAAGTTTGGATCAAATCGGATGTTCCTTTCGAGAGTTAACGTGCGCACTGGCCAGCCTGACGGACGGACATCGCTAGATGGACTCCAAATTTTCTATAACGGATTTGGTCCGAAGAGACCTAGGGTTTAAAACCGTAATTTCTATGAGGCACGTTTTGGTCGTATCAAATGGCCGTATCTCTGGCCATATGGCTGCGGGTATAAAAAAGAAGACGTGTAACGGCGTTTAAAAAGTTTATATCGAAATGTAATCAAAATAGAGGGGGCAAGTTCCCTCTTCATCCACATTTTTGAATTTTTTCGGATTTAAATTTCTCAGAATCCGTGCATTTTAGGTATACAGTGTCTTCGGCAATATTGTAGATAAAACATGAGGAATATTTTGGCAAAGAAATTTAAACCTTAGGCGAGTCAACAAAGGGACATCTTTGGTTCTTTGTTAACATATGAATGAAAACTCCCTTTAAACGTGATCATGGCAAATCAAAATATTCTACAAAACTATTGGTCTTAAAATTGTACTATAGGTCATAGAAAATGTGGTGAGGGTATGAAAAATTATTGATATGGGTAAAAATTGTTGAAAATGCATATTATAACATGAAAACATATAAAAATCTACTTATTGTTGATAAAACGTTTTAAAAATTTTGACATATCAATTTTCCCAAGCGTTGATGCATCCACCTGTATTCTTCTACCATGTCCCATGTCCCATGTGAAATGTAAGGGTTATACAATAGTAAAGATTGGACACGTTTTTTTTATCAGGCATGCCACAGGAACGAATTCCGTACAAAAGTGATTTTAATTTCGTATTTAGTTTCTCAAAAAACGAAAAACGCAATTTTTTTTACGTTTCTAAACCACTTTGGGTTTGCAAGTGAAATTGTATTTTTACAAGCCCTTGTAACTTTAAATCACTTTCATGTAATAAAAAAGTAATTTTAATAACAATTACACAATTAAATTTACATTTTTTATTTAAAATTTTAATTCTTCTTCAATTGACTAAGCCAATTGTTAACAAATTGTTGCCACATCATTTTTTGTTCTTGAAAACCAGTTTTTTTCTTCCAAACAAATGATAAATTGAAGCAAAATAAAAAAAACAAGCTAAAAAGCAAAGAGTTCGGTCAGGCCGAACTTGTTGTTCCTCCACCATTTGAAACAAATTTGGAGATTTTCAAAAAATAAAATCCCCAAAAAATGCTGTTAAAATTAAAAAAAAAAATAATAATACCGAATATAGCCGTTATATTGGAGTCTATACGACGTGGACCTACATAGGCATTGTTTGTCATAAGTCATTACCATATTAAAACTCGAAACTTGAAATAAACGGTGAATGATGTAGATAAAATCATCAAATTCCGTATATAAGGAGGTACGGTTATATGAGAGCTATACGAACATCTGGACGTGTATAGATAATTTTCTGTCACAGGCTGTAGCTTCCATTACTAACTTCATATACGACATCTCAAACATGTAACTGAAATCGTCAAAATACCGAATATAGGGAGGTATTGATATACGAAGTCCTGGACCTGCATAGACTATTTTCTGTCACAGACTGTACTCTGAACTCTAAATGCGTAGTTTAAAACTGCTACGGCGAATAATGACGCTAAAATCATCAAAATACCGAAAATTGGGAGGTACCGTTATATGGGGGCTATATGAAAACGTGGACCTGCACGCACAATTTTCTGTCGTAGGCTGTTGAATTCATTACGAACTTCAAATACCAAATTTGAAAGAATTTCGGTGGATAATGTCGCTAAAATCAAAAATGTACTGAATATCGGGAGGTACCGTTAATGGGGGATATACGAAGACGTCGACCTGCAGAGACAATTTTCTGTCGTAGGCTGTAGAATTCATTACGAACTTCAAATACCAGAATTCCGGTGGATAATGTCGCTAAAATCAACAATGTACTGAATATCGGGAGGTACCGTTAATGGGGGATATACGAAGACGTCGACCTGGGCCTCAATTCTTGTTCTATGAAAATGTGAAATGAAAACATTTATAAAGGAAAGAAATGTCAAATGAAAAATTTTATGAAGGAAATATTTTTCATTTCATATTTTCATAGAACAAGAATCCAGCCCCTGCACAGACAATTTTCTGTCTTAGGCTGTAGTATTCATTTCGAACTTCAAATACCAAATTTGAAAGAATTCCGGTGAATAATGTCGCTAAAAACATCAAAATACCAAATATCGGGAGGTACCGTTATATGGGGGCTATACGTGGACCTATATGGACCCCATTTGCGAACTTAACCTGCTTACTGGAAAAATAAACATGTGTGCAACATTTTAGCCTTCTATCTCAATTCGTTCGAAAGATTGCGTGATTACAACAGACAGACGGACATTGCTAAATCGACTTAGAATTTTACGCTGATCAAGAATATAGGGTATCTCCATAGTATGGTGGAGGGTATAAAAAACAAAAAAAAAAAAAAAATCCGCTTAGATTCTGTGACATGCCGCCTGTATATTATTTTAGTCTATTCAAGAACCTCCTCTGGTGAGACATGAACCATGTCATGCAAAGTAATAACAGTTTGACAAGCAGTGCTTGGGTATAACAGTTTGCAGAGAGTGAAATGTTTAAGTGTAGTTTTAAAATTAGGTAAGACTAAGTAAATTGCTTGTGATTGCGGGAAGGGCAGGGGTAAATTACGTGAACAGTATAGTGAGTTTTTTTGCGTACACAACAAATGTATTGTCTATAAAATAATATCCGATTTGCCAATACATGTTTATTTGTTTGTTTTGAATCCCCAAAAATCGGATAAACAATATATCAAATTCAAAACTGAAAGACTTATATGTATGTAACTTGCGATACTCTTAACGTGGACTTTCTTAGATCCTATACTAAATTATATTGTTTTGTTTTATTTTATTTTATGTAAATATGTATGTATGTATGCCTCTAAACATTTTTATGTTGTGCCTTTGGATGTGAAACATATCTATGTCGTGCTTTTGATTGCGACAAATCTTCCCCCACTTTGGACAATTACCACAATTTGTTGTGGTAAAATTTCAAATCATTATAACCCTGTTCTGTTAGGCCCTCTCCACTCGATACGGTGGATATAACATCATCAGCCGGATGACTGGTACTTGGCGAAAGGGCACATTTGCCAAGGGGACGATTGATTTTGACCACACCAAAATCTTCGCGTGACTCTTGATCGAACTCCATTTTGGTGGTGGGTGTAACCGCCATTCCGACACCATACGAACGATTCTTCATGCCGGTATGCTGTTTGCTCAACTGAAATGTTGGTGGTGATTTGTGGCTATCGGAGCCGATAATTGATGCCGATTTGGAAGCCTGCGATGGGGAGTGGGCAAATGATGAATTTTGTTGGCTATTGGACGTTTCATTTTCGGCGCCGGTGGTGTTGGTGGCATGTTCCATATTGCTTTCGATTTCGTTTGATAGTTCGGGTTCTTCAATATCTGGTTGTGTTTGTAAATCGTCTTCTATAGCGTTTGATCGGTCCTGCTGTTGTTGTTGTAGCAATTCGAATTCATTATTTTCTTCGATTTGCAAATTTTGTAGATTTTCAATAACAAAGTCGACTTTTTGCTGTCCAACGCTAATTATTTTCGTAAAAGATTTGCAAAATAATTTTTATTAAAAACAATAGAACTCATTGAAATTATGAAAAAAAATGGAAAGAAGTAATGAACAAACAATGGAACATTTTCATACTAAATTTATTTTTTTTTTTTAGCTATATGGGGAGATGAAGAGACAGAGGAAAGGTGGCTAGATCTGAGAATAAGAAATCCGTAACTATAGCTCCTTACAAAGCGCTTATATGAAGGACAGGTCCGTGATTGACTAAGTCGATGATAAAGGGTGTATTAATGTAGCCTAAGGTGACAGTGGTCTTGAGACCACTATCCAGTATCCAGTATTGGATAGTGTGGAATATATTCCAGTGGAAATAATTTCCTTCAATTCTATAAAATTTTTGTCCGCCTAAAAGTATGCTCACATATTTAACGTTTTTACACAATATTTGAGATTTCTTTGATTTTAACAATAAAAGCGCTTAAAAAAGCGAAAAAAAAAAACAAATTATAAAGTAGACCAGTAAGGAAAAATCAAAAATTGAGAGGGGCCGACTATATGATACCCTACAACCCTATGCAAACAAAAGAATTTATTTGAATTATATCGTATTACCCATCAACATTTGGCTTTATAGCTGTTACAGTTTGATTTCAGAGGGAACTAATATATGGGAGGCATTTCCAATTCTGAATCGATTTTAAAATTTGACGTAGACATTTTAATATTTTATACCAAATAACACTGCTATATCTCTTCGAGAAGGAAACTCACTCCATTTGGGCTGATATTAGACATTATTCTACACAATTAACCCTGTATAAGATATATAATTCGGTTGGATGTGCCCAGAATTCAGGTCATTTGGACTGATATTGGCCATTTGGTTCACAATTAAATCTGATCCGATTTTCACCAATTTCAATAGGATTCGTCCCTGGGACAATCAAATATTGTTTGGAAAATTTCATCTGAATCGGATGAAGTCAGACGGACTGACATGCATAAATCGACTCAGAAAGTGATTCTATGAAGATCCTCAAAATTAACTATGGGTCTATCTCGCTTTCTTCTCCCCGATAATACCCATAATACCCTTACCACTATGTGATATAGGGTATAAAAAAGTACCTTTACATATGATACTAACACCAGCTTTGACTTCCTTGGAAAAAAAAACAATTGGAAATGACAATCCTTGGAAAATTTGTCAATACGCGGTTGGTTGTACATAGAGAAAAGAAGAACATTTTTACTTCCACACGTTCCATGTTTCCACGAAACAAGGATTTATTAAAAAACAAGTAAGCAAAGGCTATAGACGTGCGGGGCCGACCATATGATACCAATATTTACGCACTCCGCCGTGGTCCATTTTAAAGCTAAAAATAATCCAGTGATCATCCAAAATGCTAGAATTCTTCCCTGTTCTTAACTCTCTTCTCAGGCGTGTTGATTGGCTTCGATTGTGTGATCTGGGTATTTTTTCTGTTTTTGGTTCATTGAACCTCTAAATATTTTGCGATCATCTCCAAAAGCAGAAGGGCCCTCTGTATCTCCAAATTTAGACTCATCTATATGATTTGCTTGTCTACGATATCTGGCTATATTCGTCAACGAAATCAGCATAAACAAGTAAAAAAGCAAAGGGCCGAACTTTGAATACCCTCCACCATTTGGAGAGCGAATTTGGAAATTTTCAAAAAAGATAACATTTGCCAAAAATTCTGTTTACATCTAAAAAAATACCGAATACAGCCGTTATATTAGGCCCTGTACGACGTGGACCTACATAGGCATTGTTTGTCATTAGCCATTATCATATTCAAATTGGAAACTTGAAATAAACGGTGAATAATGTAGCTAAAATCATCAAATTCCGTATGTAAGGAGGTACGGTTATATGAACACCTAGACCTGTATAGACAATTTTCAGTCACAGGCTGTAGCTTCCATTACTAACTTCATATACGACATCTCAAACATGTACATAAAACCGTCAAAATACCTAATATAGGGAGGTATTGATATATGGACCTATACGAAGACCTGGCCTGCATAGACAATTTTCTGTCACAGACTGTAGTTCCCATTACGAACTCTAAATGGGTAATTTGAAACTACTACGGTGAATAATGACGGTAAAATCATCAAAATACCGAATATTAGGAGGTACCGTTATATGGGGGCTATACAAAGACGTGGACCTGCATAGACAATTTTCTGCCTTAGGCTGTAGAATTCATTACGAACTTCAAACACCAAATTTGAAATAAATCCGGTGAATAATGTCGCCAAAATCATCAAAATACCGAAGATCGGGTAGTACCGTTATATGGGGGCTATACGGAAGCCATGGGCCTGCACACACAATTTTCTGTCGTAGCAATCTGTATATAATAACCCCAACCTGTGTTGTTAGGTGAAAAATCAATATTATAAGTCAAATTGGAAAAAATCGCATGCGATAAAAAATATGAAAAAATACAAAAAATGCCACAAAATACTGCAAAATCTATATAAACATCGTTATTTGCATCTTTTTATGCGATTCTTTCAGATTTTATACTTTAATGCCAAGAGGGCATTCTGAATTAACCAAATTGATCAAAATCGGTCCAGCCATTCTTGAAATATAAGCATCCTAACTAACAACATTCCCTTCCCTTCCTTTGCATATGTACATTGCACATATTTCGCTATATATATCCGATATATTTACTATCGACATCTACGCAACGGTCAGAATTTACCTGTTCGTCTACTTGTGATTTCGCCAAGATTAAAAATATTCGCGGTTTAATGGAAAATTTGACTTTTATTTAAATGATATGGTCTATTTCACAAATGATATGGTATATTTTACCCACTAAATATTACACGATGACCATCCAAATTGGAAGGCTTCTGTCTAGCCCTCTAGCTCTAGCCCCATGCTAACTTCCGCGTCGATTGGTCTATAATTGCGACTTGTTGAGCATCTGCAAAATCAGAAAAATTTTCAGTTTTTGGTTCATTTTAACCACTAAATATTGTGCGATAATCTCCAAAAGCAATAGGGTTCTATTCTGGTCCAAGTCCCACCTCCATTCTAAATTTCTTGAAGATCGGGTCAGAATTGCGACCTGTAGAGTGATTACAAATTAACATGGACAGACGGAGGAACGGACATGCATAGCTAGATCCACTCAGCTCGGCGATATAGGAAGATCCATATATACTTTCCTATGTGGAACACCAATATTTCGAGGTGTTACATAATTTTTGGCCCAATCAAACTTATAATACGACCAACACATAGTGTTGTAGGGTATAAAAATGTTCCATTGTTTTACTCATTATTATTATCAATTATTTCTTGTAGTTGATGATGAATCTGTATTTATATGTTTAGTTTAGTTTTATTTTATTTATTTTTTTTTAGAAAGAGTTTATTTTTTTTAATAAAACAGGCGCTGGCAAAAATAAAATTTATTAAAAATAGGTTATTAATTAAAATTATAAAAAAAACTTAAATTAAAAACTAACGAAGAGAAAACATAAAATCACATACAAATTTGACTTATAAAAAAAAAGAATAAACAAATATAAAATGTGCTGCCGTTTTTTGTTTAAATGCATTTATAAAACAATCCAAAAATATGTATTATTAAATTTAAACAAGAAATTTAAATTTCAGTGTTTATCTGAAAATGTCTATTTTATGTTAAAATAGATTTGTTACATTAAATTTTAGTATATTGCTAACTATTAAATATTTTGTATGAAAAAAGTTTTTAAATCAAATTAAAATTTAAGAGTAATTCTGAGTGGTGGTAAGAGAGAGAGAGAGAGAACAACAAAAGAAAACAGCTACCAAAAGAGTTTGTACAATGAAATCCAGTTCATAGTTATGATATTCTGAAATGAAAAAAAAAAACAAATAAAATAAAAAAGAATCACAAAAAAAAAAAAATAAATAAAAAATATATGATCAAACTAAATAGAAAGACTGTTGGAATATTCTAGCTTAACCACACCTCACATTTTTCTAGCAAAAGAGAGAAAACAGTTCAAATACTCAATAGTTGTCGGAGTTTGCAACTTTTTCTTTTGAAACTCCTGATTTGTGCCTGGAACTCTCAGGTAAGATAAATGAGATGGTGGCTTTTATGACACGCAGGAATACTTTTTTCGTGTTAGGAACTGAGATAGAGGATATGAGGTTTTATCGCTCCTATTACTCCATTTTGTTCAGCTTAGATAAATCAAGAAACGTTTGGGAGTTGTTGTCACGTGTGGAAGAATCGAACCGAACTAATCTCAGAGCCAGTGAACTGTTGCAAGAGACTATGGAGAAAAGTAAGAAAACCAAATTTTTTTTACTGATATGACCAAATTGCGGGCAACGATCGGCCTTGAGTTCAAAAAAGGATGATAGGTGGATTTATTGTTTTCGAGCATCTTGTCACACATTTGGACAGGTCGACAGACGGAAAGTTCTATGTCATGTTAAATCTCTACCCGCCGCCGAGGAGAATGCCTGTTGCATTTGGAATTCCGAAATAAAAAGTTCATACCCCGTAGTGTGAAATAGGGAGTTCTTCAAGGTGGGAGTAATATCGCCGGAATTGTTTAACTTCTTAATTATTTTTTTTAACTCCGCGAACTCCAGACAATGTAGAAATCTACTTCGGGGGAGGCTGTTGCCCAAGCAGCAAAAAATTAACTTTTCCATGTAAAATATACAAAGAATGGCTAGATACAGGCATTTCAGAGGGGGAAGGAGCTTGGCACCCTAGAGCAATTACCATATGAACGTCCTTGGTTACGAGATATGTTTTACGTTGAAATCCGATTATCGACCACACTTGCCCTGTTCCAGTACCTGCACGATTCTACTATTTTTGAATCATAAAGGGAAAACTTTCACATTCTTGCGGTTCTGGAACAGACCAACTGTTTACCATTATTCCCAAAATCCTAGGAGTTACACTCGAAAGAAGATCTTAGCAGTCCGCACAAGCCCCAACTATCTGCGTTAAAACAAGAAGGGGATACAAGGTGTTCTGGCCGCAAGAATCGTTGACTTGTTTCAAAAGAATTGAAATTTGTTACCCTTTGTGGATGAGATACCAGAAGGGGTTGGCTTATATATATCATCTTCATAACAGATCTTGTGTTAGGAAAAATATTTGGAGGCGTGAAATTTGAAGAGAGTTGAATGTTGATTTCGCTTTCTTTGAACGTTTTGTTTTCCAAAATCTTGAACCCTATGTGGGGGAGGTATCAGAAGAAATAGTCCGATCTTTACCATCTTTATAGCGGATCTTGTGTGGAGGGAAATATTGAGATGAATCAAGCCTGAATGAAATCGTATGTTATTTCGTGTTTTATGAGTTTCATGCATACTCAAAATGTTAACCTTTTGTGGGGGAGTTACCAGGAGGAATGGACCGATACATCCCATCTTAACAGCAGATCTTGTGTTAGTAGAAATAATGGGATATATGAAATATGAAGTGAACCGGATGCTTATTTGGGATATCATAATCGTTGTGGTTATTCGAAACTTTGACCATTTGTGGGGGAGTTACTTGATGGAGTGGACCGATATTGTCCATTTTCACACCTGACCTAGCACTGATGCAAATATTAGGATTTGCAAAGTTATATATACCCTCTTCAGCCTTATGGCTGAGGCTATAAAACTTGTGTGTGTGTGACAGTTTTGGAAGAGAAGAGAACGGAATATCTAATTTTGTTCAAACTTTGCAAATCGTGATATTTGCATTAACGTAAGATCGGGTGCGAGAATGGACAAGATCGGACTACTCCTTCTAGTATCTCCCCCACAAAGGGTCCAAATTTGGCATATCTAAAACGCTCATAAAATGCGAAATATAATTTCACACATACCAATATTTTTACCATTACAAAAGATGTAGTATAGGGGGCCACTCTTTCCGGTGCCTCCCCCACAAGGGTTCGAAATTTTGAAGAACCAAAACGCTCATAAAATGCGAAATAAGCGTCCGATTATTTTTAAACTTTGAACATCCCAATATTTGTACCAAAACAAGATCTGATGTGAAGATGGGATATATTGGTTCACTCCTTTGAATACCTTCCCCACAAAGGGTCAAAATTTGGAATATCTAAAACGCTCATGAAATGCGAAATATGCATTAGATTTCCTTTAAATTTCGCACATCCAAATATTTTAACCGTTACAAGACAGGATAACATCTCCACAAACGTCAAAATCCCCCACAAACGTCAAAATTTTGAATTATACCTCCGCCCAACCGGTCGACACTTTGCATACAAATAATTATTACAAAATGTGAGATAAGAGACCTATTGTTTTCAAATTTCGCACATCCCAATATTTCTATCAACACAATATCAAGCATGAGGAACGGATGGAACGAACTTTTCCTTCTGCTACCTCCCCCACAACAGATCAATATTTTGAATAAACAAACATTAGACAACTTGTAACCAGTAAAGAAAGTCTTAAAGTCGGGCGGTGCCGACTTTATGATACCCTACACCACTTTGGTAATTTAGTAGAGCATAACAATTATCTATTATCGATCTCGATAAAATTTGCCAAAGATATTTCTGACCTGTATTTGATATATTTCCCTGAATATCGTTGTTATGGAGTGCATATTACGGCTGTGGGTAACAAATATGAAAAATCGGATGAACAGTATATATGGGAGCTATAGTTATATCTGAACCGATCTTCATTAAATTTGACATATTAGCTTCTAGACTCAATTCTGTCGTAAGTGCCAAATTTCAACCAATTTGGGCAAATATTAGACGTTTGGTGCACAATCAAAGGTAAATCGGACGAAGTAATATATGAGAGCTATATCCAAATATGAACCGATCTCGATAAAATTTAGCAAATGTATTTCTGAGCTGTATTTGATATATTTCCCCAAATATTGTTGTTACAGAGTGCATATTACGGCTGCGGAGGACAAAAATAACAAATCGGATGAACAATATATATGGGAGCTATAGTTATATCTGAACCGATTTCAATCAAATTTGGCATACTTATTTTCAGGTCCAATCTGATCGTACGTGCAAAATTCCATACTATTCGGACTGATATTACACGTTTGGTGCACAATAAAAGGCAAATCGGACGAAGATATATATGGGAGCTATATCTAAATTTTGACCGATTATCTCCAATTTCAATGGGGTTCGTCCTTGGGCCAAACAAATGATTTGTGCAAAATTTCATCTGGATAGGGAAATAAATGCGAACTGTACTTTGTTTACAAAAATACATGGACAGACGGATGGACGGATATGCATAAATCGGCTCAGAATGTGATTCTATGCAGATCATCAAAAGGAACTATGGGTTTATCTGGTTTTTTTTTGCCTGTTACAAACAAATGCACAAAGACATAATACCCCGACCACCTTGTGGTGTAGGGCATAACAACATAATAATAAACACAAGGTCTACTATGGAGATATAGAAAGGGTCCAATATTTGAATAATTATAACTCCCATAACATGCGAATTGTGTCAACGAATTTCCTTTAAATCTTGTATACCACAATATTTCTACCAACAAGAGATCTGATCTGAATATGACATTTATGGGTCCACTCCCGCTGGTACCTTCTTCACTTTTTAACATTATGAAACTATTATAACCCCTATACATGCGAAATAAATCAGTGAGTTTCTTCAAAAATCATATATATGGGATATGTTGGCCAACTCTTTCTGGTGACTTCCCAAAAGAGTTGAGCATTTTCAAAACACATTATATCAGACTGAGTTCATGAGCGAAATGGACAATATTTTTCTGCTCCATCGGTAGCTCTCCATAGAGGATCAAAATTTTGAATTATAATAAAATATGTCAAAATATATTTTAATAAACGAGTAAAGGCTGAGGGTATCGATCTGTCGGCAAAACCGACTGATACTCTTTCACTTGTTTTCTACTCGATTTGCCTTTCCACTCTTGCTGTATTTTGAGTCTCACTCTTATTTTTCGAACGGAAGTAACTCGAGTTAGTGCTTACATGTAAAACAAGCGTGAAGAGTACAATTCGCCAAAAACTTCTACTCTTTTTCAATCTGACATCTCACTTCTGAAGAAACAGAGCTACACCTTCCCGATATCGAAGAAAGTGAATTTTGAGACATATAGTTAGAATCAGAACCGGATTAGCTGAACAGACACGTCACGTCAACATAAACTGACACCAAAAGTTACAATGTGGCTGACTATCGCGTCATATATCCAACAAATGAAATGCGGTATTTATTCTTGTAAACAGTACACTTGGGAGTCAATCCATTTCTGTGTGCTCCCCATTATTTCTCTTTCATCTTAGACACAATATTTTTACCCATTTCCTTGAAAATATTTTGCTCGATTGCATGTAACATGACTGGGCACTAATTCTGATGAAAACTTTTTAGAAATATTTAATTTTTGATTAAATTAAGGTACTACTTTGGTATGTCGCCATTCCACACATAGTCATCAAAAAATTTGATTTAAACAAAAAAAAAAAATAAATAAATAAAATAAAAACTCGAATTAAAATGCTTGTTGTCGCCTTTTCCATTCACTTTCGTATCCTAAACAGTTCCGAAAATTAGGAAAATATAATGAAAAAAAAAAAAAAAAAATTAAAACAAATAGCAAAACCATAATCAAAGGCAGCAAAGATTTATACAGTGGAGCAATAGATTTATTATTTATTTATGACGAGTATTCTTATGTCAAATGCAATGCAATGGAATGATTAAAGCAAGAACATTGTTTGGTACAAAATTTGAAACTTACCTTCCCGATTCAGCGCCTTTAGTTGGAGTCGTACCACTGTGAATTATCTGCAAGAATAAACAAAGTGGAGAAAATTAAGAAGCGTGTTTTTTTTTTTTTTGAAAAGCGACTATCTCGAATAGAATATTCTGTTTGACTAAAAAACGAGATTGTGATATTAGCTGAGCAAATTTTGAAAGCAAATTTCGCTTTCATGTTAAATAGCGACAGCTGCAGCAACAAAGAAACCTCATTACCCTACGACCACTGACGCAAAACATAAACAATGTTATGTGAATGACAACAACGATATGCATTCAAAAATTTCAACTCCTTGCATGTCCTCCTTACGAGAAATTCAGTTCTTTTCAACCAGACATGTGGTCTGAACGTTTATTTGTTGCTCTGTGCTGTGTTTTTTATTATTTCTTTCTTATACGTCAGTGTCTTACAATAAATATTTGACCTCAGATTTGTTTCTCATGCGCCGTGCCACCCAACCAAGAAAGGAGGAGGTTTGTGAAAAACAAAAGCACGGAGCGGACATCACAATGGGTTTCCTGCTACGTTTATCCTTTTAATATTTGTAACAATATGCCAAGTTATTGTTGCTGTTATTTTTGTCTTTTGTTTGTTCCACTGAACCCCCCATTGACTAGACTGACATCAAAAAAGAACAATAGAGCCAAGAAAAAATTGACCACTTTTTTGCAGCAGAAATTCTTTTTTCTTTTAAAACATAGACACAAAATCTATACGAGGTTGGTATGAACGGTTTCGTCATGGTACAATGAGGACAAGGTAGGCTCACCTTGAAAAAATTGTATGCATAGTGGTCTACCTGTTTGGCTTGTAATGTCGGAATTACTATCAAAACAGTTAAAATCCCATTGATTTTGAATAAATAATTGAAAACCGCGAAAACTAAATAATGTTCTATATCAGACGGCTGCAATGAGTATGATTGAGTAGGCTTGATCACACACAGTAGAAATACAATCAAACTCAATCAGTCGGTCAGATGCAACATGTTCATTCGAGTTACTCAAGCCAAACGAAAAAGTTGTGATCAAACATGTATTGATCGAAGTTTTGTGATCGCAATCAAACAGTTCACATGAGTTATTTGTTTACGAACTTATGTTGAATTGTTCATAACGGGCCGATCATCTATGATGAGTCTGATCGGTTTTATTTATCCTAGTTAAGTGAGTGATTTGATTTGATTAAAACACAAATGTTCGAATTTGAGCGAAATCATGATTGTAATTTTACTAAGGATTTCATAACTAAAAGATGTCCCCATTAAAGAAATTGGTACAAATTATATTTAATAAGCATACAATTTTTCATTTTATTTGGGTTTTTGGGTATGCTAGACTTCAGTAACTTATTGGAAAAAAAAACAAAATTAATTTTTTTTAATAAAGAAACACATCATTGGTATTTAGAAAACTAAAAATGTTTAAATATTTTTTTTATTTTACAATATTGGTCAAGATTTTTCACAAACTTCGACCTTTTCGTTTACCTACACCTGTGTAGTTTCTACTTGCAACAGTTTCGGTCGCACTATCACAATATTCTTCTAAAAAAGTCAAAATAAACTGTTCCAACTTGATTAAATGGTTGAATAAACAATGACGCTGAGCGAACTCGATTCAAAGAAGACAATCACGGTTGTGATTGCTCATTTACATTCATGTGTTCGATCAACTCATGTTGCTGAACAGATCAAACCGTCTCGAACGCTCATGTTTGATTGTGAGTGAAGTGATTCAAACTGAGCGTTCGATTCGATCAGAAGCGAAAACGGTCATTTCATTCAGATCAAACTGAACGACTGCATCAACAAAAATCATGTAAGAAACCGAGTATGCTTGAATTTTTGCATACTCGTTGCAGCCCTCTGTTCTATATATCTCTGAAGGTTTATTTCGCTTAAAAAACTGTAGATTCTGTAGATTCATACGTTGCAATAAGCATTTTGAAAACATCCGAATTTGAATATTTTCTGGGCATTTTTTTGTTATTGAAAAGAATAAACACACACAAACAAAAAAGTTGACATATTAAGCCAAGAAAATAAAAAAACAAGTAAGCAAAGGCTATAGTCGTGCGGGGCCGACTATGTTATACCCTACAACACTACAATATGTTAGAAGCCCCCTTATGTCCAAATCCATTTTGCAAGATTTCGCTTTTGTTTTTTTAGGATTTTGACTAGGGACATATAACGGTACCACGCGATATTCGGTATTTTGACGATTTCAACAACTTTATTTTCCGGAATCGTTTCAAATTTCGTACTGGAAATTCCTAATGGGTACTACAACCTATGGCAAAAAGTTTCGTAGGCAGGTCAACGTCTTCGTATAGCCCCCATATAACGGTACCTCCCTTTTTTTTATTCGGTATTTTCATGTTTTTAGCCAAATTATTTACCGGAATTATTTCGAATGTCGTATTTGAAATTCGTAATGGGTACTACAGCCTATGACAATTTTGACTATATTTGACTATTTTACACTTAGCATGGAAACCCTAAACATAATTTTTTGAAATTTGTAAAGTTCCTTTCGTTTTTTTTTTTTTTTTTTTTGAATAGTTTAACAGCAATATATAACTGTCTTACTGGTATTTGTCGTTTAAAGTGGAACACATTTGAATTCAGATACTCTTATATAAAAATGTTTTCTTTACCCACTGATGGAGGGTATTAAAAGTTCGACGCGGCCAAACTTAATGTTTTTTATTTGTTTTTATTATGAAATTACAGTTCACACTATATATTACAATTGCTCATTTATACAGTTCACATTATTCTATGTCCATCACTTGACCAAATGTAAGAAACACAACATACTATACGGCGACGGGATTCGAAACAACGGAAAATTGGAACTATATGGCGGGCGACGGCAGTTTGACACAATAACTGGGTTTAGACGACGACAGATCGATTATACAATGTTCCAAAATACACGTGAACACGTTGCAGTGCATATAACGTTAAGAACAACACAACAACACTTCAACACTCTCACACACAATGCTCTCTATGGTAATGAGAACGTTAAAAACCCTTCTTTAATTACAAGAGAACAAACTCAAAAATTTTAAAAGCTGAGAGAACTTTCCAAACCCCTCTCAACTCTAATAACGTAATACAACACTCTAAGAAGTAACTGGAATATTATAAACGCAACTTTACGTAAAACTTTAGAGCTGAGGGAACATTGGAAACCCCTCTCAACTGTAACTCCAGGAATGTTAGAGTCAAACACCACAGTCGTTGCATTTAAGGGATCAATGTAAACACTACTCAACTTCAACTAAGCACTATATTATTACCTAGGGAACGTTATAAACACCACTTTGCTCACTAGCTTTCCACAAACGACTGACCTCGAACAACTCTACGACACCTCCTTTTATACTGTGAAGTGCATGCCGAAGCTGCCAGTTTTCTATTGTCGAAGTGTTTTAGCTCAGCTATTCGCCGCCACGTGCATTCGATCGCAGTCTGTTTATGTTTATAAAACCTAAGATGATGGGACATTGCATTGATTCTTTGATTCAATAGATGGCGCTGGTAGTGTAAAAATATGTTATATCACCCTATCATGACATTGCATTGGGTTATAATACAAAAGACATGGCGTTTTTATAGGGATTTCACATTTTCACAGTTTTTATACCCTCCACCATAGTATGAAGGGTATATTATGTTTGTCATTCCGTTTGTAACTCCTCGAAATATACATTTTAGACCCCACAAAGTATATATATTCTTGATCAGCATGAAATTCTATGTCGATTTAGCTGGATGTCCGTCCGTCTGTGGAAATCACTCTAGCTTCCGAACTAATTGAAGTAGATTGATAAAATTTTACACAAATGTATATTATGTCTGCAGGACTTTTGATATTGAAAATAGGCCATGCATGTCTACGTTTTGGTATAGCCCCCATATAGAGGTACCTTCCGATATTCGATATTTTGATGATTTTAGCGACATTATTCACTGGAATTGTTTCAAATTTGGCATTTGAAGTTCGTAATGGATACTACAGCCAAAGACAGAAAATTGTCTGTGCAGGTTCACGTCTTCGTATAGCCCCCATATAACGGTACCTACCGATAATCGGTATTTTGACGATTTTAGCGACATTATTCACCGGTATTTGATGTTCGTAATGGATACTACGGCCTAAGACAGAAAATTGTCTATGCAGGTACACGTCTTAATATAGCCCCCATATAACGGTACCTCCCGATAATCGGTATTTTGATGATTTTAGCGACATTATTCACCTGAAATTCTCTCAAATTTCGTATTTGAATATTGTAATGGCTTTTGACAAAAGTTACCTATGCAGGTCCATGTCGTCTCACAGATCCTTATATAACAGCACATTCGGTATTTTTAAGATTTTAACAGAAATTTTAACGGATTTTATTATATTTGAGAATTGCCAAATTCGTTCCAAATGGTGGAGGGTATTCAAAGTTCGGCTTTTACAGTTTTTTTGGAATTTTGAATTAACATTTTTTTGTTCATTTTTTTGAATTGAATGTTAATTCCGCGCTTTTTTTTTTTGAGCTTCATGGATATTCAAAATGTTAACCCGTTGTGGGAGAAATACCAGAAGGAGTGGACCGATATATTCTATCTTCACATGAGACCTTGGGCTAATAAAAATATTGTGAAGTTTGTAATTTAAAGACAATCGGAATCTTACTTCGCATTTTATCAGAGGTAGATTTATTAAAAACCCTTTGTGGGGAAGGTTTGGACCGGTATTGTAAATTTTCGCACTTGGCCTAGAACTGATGCAAAGTAGGAGCAAAATTGAATTAAATTTTCTCTTTCTGTGCTGTAAAATATTGTTTTGAACATGTCTATCTTTTGTGGGGGAGGTACCAGAAGAAGCGGACCAATATGACCCATCTCCGAACTCGATCTAAGTTTGATAACAATATTACGATGTTCTAAGTTGGGACCAAATCGAATAGCCAGCCAGACGGACATCGCTAGAACGAAGCCAAATGTCCTGAAACGGATTTGGTCCAAGGAGACCTAGAGTCTAAAGCTGTTATTTTGATGAGGCACATTTTGGCCTTAGAAATCGCATAGTATCATAAGTAAGAATGGGTTATAGGAAAACGTGGATCTATATAGACAATGTTCCGCCAGCGATGAATTTTTGGAGGTGTTAAAAACGGAATGACAAAGGTTGAGGGTGAGAAATATTTCAATCTTAACATTATTTTTGTTGGCATATTTTTATACGATTTTTCTGGTTTTACACCTTCCTACCAAGAGACCATTCTAAATTGATGCGAATTGTAAAAATAAGTCCAGACGCTGTCGAGTTATAAGCATAATAAATAACATCAATTTGGGGGTATTATAAGTTTAATTGAGCTGAAAATTATGTAACACCTCGAAATATTGGTTTCCCACATAGCTATGTATGTTCGTCTGTCCATGTTAATTTGTAATCAAGCTAGTGGTCGCAATTATGGCCCGATCCTCACGAAATTGAAAACGGAGGTGGGGTTAGGGTCAGAATAGAACCCAATTGTTTTTGAAGATGATTACCCAATATTTAGGGGTTGAAATGGACTAAAAACAGAAAAATTTCTTGATATTGCAGTTGCTCTATAAGCCCCAATTATGAATCAATCGACGAGGAAATTTACATGGAGTTAGAGTTAAGAACTGGGCAGAAGCCTACCAATTTGGGCGGCCATCGGACAATATTTAGCGGGTAAAAGAGACCCTAACTGTTATGTAAGGAAATGAGAAAATTTCCACTAAACCGCGAATAATTTTTATTCCAGCCAAATCGCATTAAAAGGTCACTTCTGACTATTAAAGTGATGCTGATAGCCAAAAAATCGGATATAAAGCAAAATAGGAACAATATATGTAAAAGAAATAGATCTTATTTATCTTATCTTTATTTATTCTTCTTATAATCTATTATTTATTCTATTATTTATTCTTCTTATAAGACATGAACCGCTGGGCCGATCTTCACAATTCCCATCAATTCGGAAAAGTCTTTTGCCAAATAAAATCTAAGAAAATCGCAGAAAAATATAGCAATAAAAAGTGAATATCTTTTTTCAATTTTTGTCATATTTTTTATCGCATGCAATTTTTTCAATTTGACTTACAATTTAGAATTCTATTTTTTTTTTAAATTTTTACACCGATCCTCACGAAATTTTGCATGGGGGTAGGGTTAGGTTCAGAACTAAAGCCTATTGTTCGTAAGATTTACATTTAGGGCTTTAAATGGACTAAAAAAAATAAATTTTTCTAATTTTGTAGTCCCTCTATAGACAACAATTGGAAACCAATCGACACGGAATTTCGCATCAGAAGAAAGTTTGGGACAGGAGCATTATTTTTGATATTATTTCAAAAACGAAATCATCCAAAATAGATTTGGGCATAAGGCGGCTTCCAACATATTGAAGTCTTGTAGGGTATCACATGGTTGGCCCCGTTCGACTATAGCTTTTGCTTACTTAATTATTTATGTAGGTATGACCGACAAAGCATTGAATGAAGAACACAATAGGTATATTATTATTATTATTTGGAAAATTCGGTCTTCCGAGAAGTCGTGCTACAACATTTGAATTAAACATGGTTTGTGGTATGGGTCATAAACTAGATTGAGCCATAATAGAGCCTTAATATCGGTCTTATTCTAAAGTTGAGGATTTCCCAAAAAGTTCGAACAATCCTCTTAATTTCTAACGCCCTTTTTATAGGTTTTTGTTAAAAAAAAGAGAAGCTATGAATGTGGCTTACAATACAAATCGTTATATGACACGCTTTGTCGATTGTATTGAAAGTGAAACTTATATTCTCAAGAACATAACTATATTCAGGTCACTTTTCTTCACACATGCCTGTTTCTTCATACATGTATGTGTTGAAAACTGAAAGCTGTTTGAACTACTTTGATTGAGGAGTATGCCAATTGGCCGTGAGCCAACGTAAAGTAACCCCTTTTTTAGTTATTAAGTGTTTATCTATTCAACGCAAAAATTTAAGAACATGGTTATGTTGACAAATTGTTGACAAGGGTTACCAATATTTAAATAACGTTATATTAAAAAAAAAAATATATATATTTGCATTTGATGAAAATGTTTTTATGTTTTGATACAACATTTATTTTGGCAAATATTTGTAAAAGTCTGGGGTAGTATGATTTTAGGAAACTCTTCTAAAGTTTTTTTTTTTCAAAATAACGCAAAAAACGAAAGTTTACTTAGAAATCAAAATCCCTTTTGCGAAGAGTGATTTATTTCTGCTTTATCGAAAAATGTAAAAAAAAACATCTAGTTCGGCCGCCCGAACTTTTAATACCCTCCACCCTTGAGTATCGAAAACATTTTTATATAAAAGAATCTGAATTGGAACTTGTTCTACTTTAAACTTCAAATACCAGTAAGACCGTTTGGATAATGCTGTTCAACTTTTCAAAAAACCAATAAGGTGGGCGAGACCGGTATGTGGGCCATACCAAAACGGGAACCTCCATATACAATTTTATATTTCAAGGATTGACATCTATCAAATCTCAATAAATAATAAATTTGAAACTATTTCGTGGGATTATTAAAATGCCGAATATCGGTGGGTATCGTTATATGTGCGCTAAAGAAAAATTTAGGCCTAACTATTGAATGTTCTGCCATCGCAGCATTATAAACTACAAATACCAATTTTCTGACAAATCTGTAGAAAAATTATCAAAATACGGAATATGCGGAGGAACTACTGCGTGTGGGGGTTATACGAAAACGTGGACCTACTATGTTCGACAACAGCAGCTAGAACCCATTACGAACTACAAACACAATGTTTGGACAAATCCGTGGAAAAAGGTTGGAGAAAACATAAAAAAACCGGCTATACCAAAACGTAGACCTATGTATACTATGTTCCGCCACCGGAGCTAGAATCTATTACGAACTGCAAATACCAATGTTTAGACAAATGCGTTGAAAAATGTGGCAGAAATCATCAAAATACCGAATATCTGTAGGTACCATTATATAAGGTCTATACCAAAACGTGGGCCTATGCATACAATGTTTCGCCACCAGAGCTAGAACCCATTATAGTCTGCAAATACCAATTTTTAGACAAATCCGTGAAAAAATGTGGGGAAAATCATCAAAATACCGAATATCGGAAGGAACTGTTATATGGTGGCTATACCATTTTTTTTTAATTTTATTGAATGAAATCAAAAAGTGTCGGGAAGAGCATCAAATTTCCGAATAAGTTTAGATTTGTTCGAATTGATCACCTTTGGCACGAATTATGGCCTTCAAACTGCCAATGAAACCGTCACACGCTGCCCGAACGTTGCTCTGCAGTATTTGAGCCCATTCCCAAGAAGCGCTTGCTTGAGGTGATCGACACTTTGGTATTTTTTTAGTGCTAACCTTGCTTTCCAAAATAGTCCATTGTGCGCTGGAAATGAAGCGTGGATCCTCATTTTGTAACCATTCTTGGGTGGCACGTGCCGAGTGTGATGAGATGGTGCTGAGTCCTATTGGATTGTCCACCAGAATAATATTCGGCATTTATTCTGATGTCACGGTCAATTTATACAAGCGGAGAGCTATCATCGCTTGTTATGGCGGCCCACACCATCACTATTGCCGGCGTTTGAGTTCTGATGGTCAACCGAAGGTGCCCATTTCAGCTGACCTCTTTGGCAGGTAAACACGATCATTTTGTTTGTTTAAAAACTGCTGGACAACGAATGTTTTCTCATCGGAGAAAATCAAATTCGGCAGTTCACCACTTTCGGCCAAGCGAAGCAACTCGTTAGCTTATTTGAGTGTTTCTGCTGCGGTGTAAGTTCTTGGCCTTTTTGGAATTCTAATGGCTCTTCAATGGCTCTGCCCAGCTTATTTGTAATATTTGCTGAATGTAATATTGCGATATGTTCAGTTCACGAGCCATTTTTCGGCTACTGCAACGCGGGTTACGATAAAGTCGCTTCTTTACTTTTTGAACCATTTCTGCTGATGTTGCTGTTTTCTTCCGTCCACTTCCTTGACGTCGGGCTACGCTAACGAGCGATGGCTACGCTAAGAGACACAAAAGATTTAATCACATTTAAACGCTGGACGATAGCCACTTGTGGTTTTTCAGCCAAATATATATCACGAATAATTTTTTTTTCTGGAGAATTCTCACCAAAATGCTTTTGTACGCTTGTAAACAATATAATGAGCTGTCACTGGACTGAAGTTGGTTGCAGTTTTCTAATCTCACTTTATGGTACCTCAACCTCAAAGGGTTACAATTTTAAATTCTTTTATCTGTCATAACTTGCGAAACAAGTCAGCAATTCTTTACATCTTTACTAAGTTTATTGTCAAACTGCTGTCAAATGTTCACGAGAATTTATCTGAAAAATCCAAAATATCTTACATTTGCAGGTGTCTTTGGTAAATTGTATTCATATCTTTATTACAAATATTGTGCCCCTTAAAAAGTATTGGAATGATTACGCATAAAACAATTTTACTATAGCCCAGCAATGTGGAATTACTTAGCTGACATACTAATAGTTACGGTTGACTATTTTATGGGCCAAATATCAATATTAAATTGATTCGTGTAAAAAATGTATACCTTGTTTTCAAAAAAGGTACGAAATGCAATTGAGGTTGATAGGCAAAATTGAGAAATCGAAATTGTCTGAAAGAAAATTCATAGTTCTTTTACTATTGTTTATGGGAGAACACAGTAAAACGATAAATATTGTATTGATTTCAATTTGATAGTTGTTTTAATTTCCCATTGAATATGAACATGAATCTGAACAATAATGTTTTAACCGGATACAAAAACATTTGTAATTTTGCGATGTTAGCCTCCTTCATAACAATAATTTTAATCAATTTATTTATACAAGGACAAATAATAATTAAAAAAATATCGACAATAATAATTTTGAGTTACAAGAATCATTTGCTGACAATTTCAGTTTGGTCCCCTTGCTGCTTGAGCCTCAGACTGTGCATTTGTGGCAGCCGCTGCAGACGATTGTGCTTCATAACTTGTCTGTTGAGTTGGGTTCGTCGTCTGTGCTGGCACCAGATATATTGTTGTCTGGCAATTGGGACAAGTGGTGCACATCTCAGGTTCAGGCATAGATGAGGCATTAAAAGGTGATGGCGACATGGCCGAAGGTGTTTGCTGATGGTATGTTGAGTGTTGTTGATGATGAGTGTTTGCGAGTATCTGTTGAGTTGGCACTGTACACGGTTTTGATGACATTTGTTGCTGATGTTGGTGACTTGCCGGTACGGATGTCTATTTTTTTTTGTTTTAAGGGAAAATGAAAGATGAAGTAGATAAAACCAATTTTCGTACCAAAATAGAATTATTTGTCATAATTTACCTTATTCAGATTGCCTTGATTGTCTCCTGAAATTGATACAGTATTGTCGCGTTGTTGATTCATCTGTTGGTGCTGCTGTTGCGCTTGAGATTGATTTGAATTTACGTTTGGAGAATAAGTTTCGTTGTGGGTCTAGGTTAAAAAAAAAAACAAATAAATTGTTTGGAATTCTAACAATGGAAAGGCTCAAACATATAGAGTTGACATCACTAATTGAAATTTACTACTTCTTCCTTATATTCCAATTTTTAATGGATTAATGGACAATAGTTTTAACGAGAAACTTCCAATTTAAAACAACAATATGAACAAAGGAAGAGAATAGTTAATAGATAACAATATATATATGAGGAGAAACTAATATCATTAATCCTGCAGCGAACTTTTGTTATTTGAAGCAACTACATACATATCATATTCAATTTCAAAATATAATTGAGAAAATATTCGTTTGCGAAACTTTTACAAAAAGAAGAAACACGAACAAGGGCTACACATTTTCTATAATCACAAGATTCTATTACGTTTAGTTTTTTTTCTTTTTGACCTAATCTTCTTTAATTGCTTTAATACTCACAATTGAAGGTTGCCCGGCTGCATGGACTGACGTTACAAAATGTTGATGGGAGTCATTTGCTTCATTTAAACCCTAGTAATTCGAAAATGAAATATTATGTGAACTATTACAATTCGTGTTGACCAAAATTTTGACTCGTGCTTTTTCAGTTTTTGTCGTGAGAGACTAATTTTTATCCCTCACCAACAAACTATCAATTGCGGGTATTGTAATTACCTAATATTCACTAAAAGTATTAAAATAATGTCTAGGATATAAACCTCATAACATAAGATCCGATAGTGATCCGAAATTAACCATGAACATTCGGCCGGGCCGATCTTTGAATACCCTTCACCATTTGAAACGAATTTGGAAAGTTTACAAAATCGGTTTTTAACAGAATTGATTAAAAATCATGTTAAAAAGCTTAGAAATACCAAATATAGGAAGTCGCTGTCGCATTGGAGCATCTTTTGGTATAGCCCAGTACAATTTGAAACAATTCCTAAAATTGTTTAAAATACCGAATATCGGGAGGTACCGATATAAGGGGCTATACGAAGACGTGGACCTGCATTTGGATTTTTTGTCATAGGCTGTAGTACCCATAGAGAACTTCAAAAACGAATTTTGAAACGATTCCGGTGAATAATGTCTCTAAAATCATCAAAATGGCAAATATAGGGAGGTACCGTTATATGGGGGCAATACGAAGGCGTGTACCTGCACGGACAACTTTCTGTCATAGACTGTAGTGTCCATTACAAACTTCAAATACAAAATTTGAAACATTTCCCGTGAATAATGTCGCTTAAATCATTATATGGGGGCTATACCAAAATGTGGAACTACATGGCCCATTTTCAATACCAAAAGTCCTGCAGACATAATATATATTTGTACGGAATTATTTTTTTCGGAAGCTAGAGTGATTTCCACAGACAAATCGACATAGAATTTCATGCTGATCATTTTAGACCTTGTTGGGTTTAAAATGTATATTTCGAGGTGTTACAAACGGAATGACAAACTCAATATACCCTCCATACTATGGTGGAGGGTATGAAAACTTCACTATAGTGTATTATATATTTCCTGGAGTATGACATGAACATTTGTGGTGTTAAGAATGCTTATTAAACATAAGGAACAAGGAGTTGCTCTTGAATGGAAATTGTCATATGTTATCCCGTTTTTGAGAACAAAAAGGACGACTATCGGGGCCTATAAACTTGAGCATTGTTTTTGTTTTTTTTTTTGTAGCTGCTATGAGCCTAAAGATGAGAATACATAGAATAATTTCCTTTCTAGCCTCATTCATTGGCTGGTTTGTCTTAAAAGAACAAAGAAGTTCGGCACATTTCGGACCATAAAAGTATTTACGAAAAACCAGTCAATGACTTCAGCTAGAGAAAAATTCTTCTGTGAATACTCACATTTAAGGTGCAGTTACATAGAAGAATATTTTTACAGCCTTAACAAAGAAAGGCGTAAAATGATGTAGAAGACTTGACATAATACAAGGTGGCGCAAAAGTAATCCTCCTATCAGAAAATGCTATAAATGTTACGATTGGCCCAGTTCTGTTTTGACATTAATATACGTTAATAAACAATGTTTCGCTCCACTGCTCCAAAACTCGTGACATTGGTAACTATTTATTGGACCAGCAATCGGTCGGTGACTTTGGAACAACGTCAATTTCGATTTTCATCTTAGCGGGTACGTAAATAAGACAAATGTACGCTTTTGGGGCACTGAATATCCGCGTGTGACTCACGAAAAACCACTACACCCTCTCAAAGTCACTATAGGAGTGCTGTTTTTGCCGGAGGAGTCATCGGACCTTCTTTCTTCAAAGATGTCGCGGGTCAAGCGGTTACTGTGAATGGCGGACGCTACAAAGCAATGATCAACGAGTTCTTTTTGCCCCAATTTGATGAGTTGGGATTGGAAAACATGTGATTCCAACAGGTCGGTGCAAGGGCACAGACGGCACGTGCCCCAATCGATATGCTGAAGGATGTAATCTCCCAGCAAAACCGCCCGATTTGACCGCTCCAGCCTTTTTTGTGGGGTTTTTTAAAGTCGCGGGCTTATATCAACAAGCCTCAGATTTCAAAATTTCATTCCACTGGCCTTCTCTAATAATTGCTTACTGCCTTAGCGATTAAAAACACTTAACATTGGTAAGTAACCAATGTTGTTATGGTGTCATAACAAAAGAGATATATATTCATCTGGTGACAATATTTAGACTCCGTTATGTCCCATCTTTTTACAAAGCCGCGTGGGCTGAACGAGTATTAGTTATGGGCCGAAATTGTACTAAGTTAACCTAAAACTACTTTGTTCTTTTGCGAATGATTTAGTCCCACCTTCAAGGCGACTATTCATTGGCAGCTTGTCATCATGACACAACGTATTTTGTAACATATTATATAGGCATGTCTGACACGAATCCTGTTTCCCATATAATATGTCAATAATATGCCATTCTACCATTGCTAAGTTGCTTATGTATTGTCTCCTTAAGATGGGATTTATCAAAATTTTGGTCAAGCTGTCATTGATATTTTTTATATATACCGCATTTCGTTGAAATTGTGTCTTTTGAAAAACGTTCTGCTTCAGATATTCCTCATCCACCTCTTGTAGACCCTGGAAATCAAGTCTAGTTAATAAGGAACAAAAAAAAAAACACGTTCTTCATCCGTTTTTTTTTTTTACCGAACGACGTTCTGTCATTTGCTGGCGTACATTTACTTTACTCAAGGCATCCAAAGGATTCTTGCGACCCTGCAAAAATAAAAGAGCTCAATTATGATATACATTAAATCGAAATGGTCTTTCAAAAATTTGTAAAATCTTTTGAACAAAAAAAAATGTGAAATTGTTTTACAGACTTTGAAAACCATTATCGTTTACATTTGTACTTACCACCAGTTTATCTTGTTCGGCTATTTGACTGGGCGTCAGACTTACTTCGCTGGGATTTTTCTATTCACGGAAATAAAAAATGTATATTTTTTTTTTTTAAATTTACTTGCCTTTAGTGCTAGTTCTTAATAAAAAATTACCACAACTTTTGCTTTACTTCTTTTGACATGCACAGCTTGATGTTCGGCACTTTTTGGATGATGCGTTATGCTGGAAGTGCTTGGGTTACGACGTTTTGCATCCATATTTTTGGTTTATTGATTCACTGCAAACAAGCGTACAATTTCGAATCTCTTTATCACTCGCGTTCGGTAAAATTATAGAAAATATTGTTTTCTTAATAAATTTTCCCAATTCACTTGGCAATGAAAAAATCAAAACTTGGGTACGAATTTTTTCAAATATTTTTGTTGAATGAAAATTCAAAACAATTCGATTGCATATTTTTTTTGAAAAATTTTCAAGTGACGTAATTCCAGTTTTCCAAGTACAGTGCGCTAGACTTCAAGTTATAAGTCGCACCTTAGAATTGAGCGTAGACGGAGGAAAATGTGTACAGATAGATTATGTGGATCAGGTGTGCAACAGTCAAAACAGACTGTGATTTAAGTAAATACAGCGTCCATGGGTATGGACGGATTATATGACTGTAAGTCTTTTATAGAAAGCAGAGCATTCTGAGGCAGATCATGACATTCCTTCACTGTGCAACAAAGATACATTTTCCTAATAACTACAGTAAAAAAAATCGAAAAGATTGTGAAATATAATACATATATGTCGGTGTATTGAAATTTTAAAGGGAGGTGGAGTTCCGCCCATTTTTTATTTTTGAAAATATTTGAGTTGGAATCCTTACATTTTAGGTATATAGTGTCTTCGGTAATATTACTGGAAACAAGTTAACAAGTATCTGTCGGTTTTCCCGACAGATTGATACCCTCAGCCTTTATCCGTTTATTAAAATATATTTTGACATGTTTTATTATTACTCAAAATGTTGTCCCTCTATAGGAGAGCTACCGATGGAGAGGAACAATATTGTCCATTTCGCTTGGAGGTGACATGTTTGGATAATGTATATATACTTTTTGAAATTGCTCAACTTTTTTGGAAATTTACCAGAAAGAGTTCGTCAACATACTCCATATACATGTTTTTGAAGTAAATCATAATTCTAAAAGGGGGAAGGTATAGGGGTGGTTTAACCACAAATTTCATATTCGAATCAGATCTCTTGTGGTAAAAATATTGTAATATACAAGGTTTGAAGAAAATCGTTGATGTATTTCGCATGTTATGAGAGTTATAATTATTCAAGAATTTGACGCTTTGTTGGGGAGATACCAGAAAGAGAGGACCGATATTTAAAGAGAATCTGATGCATATTTCGTATTTTATTAGCGTTTTAATTATTCCAAATTTTGCCCTTTGTGGGGATGTTATTCAAAAAAGTGGTCCGGTAATCCCATCTTCAAATCAGATGTGGCTGGATGGATGCTTATTTCCCATTTTATTTGGTTATGCAAAAATTTGACCCTTTGTGGGGGAGGCACCAGAAGGAGTGGTCCGCTATACTTTATCTTTACCCTCCAGCATTTGGAACGAATTTGGCAATTCCAAAAAAAAAAAAAAAAAAAAAAAAAAAAACAATCCTTTAAAAATTCTGCTAAAATAAAAAAAGTCTGCACCTGCATAGGCAACATTTTGTCATAAATTCAAATGCGAAACTTGAAAAAAAAATCGGTGAATAATGTCGCTAAAATCATTAAAATACCGAATATCGGAAGGTACACGAAGACGTGGACCAGCACAGTCCTCTATAGTATCCATTACGAACTTCAAATACCAAATTTGAAACAATTCCGGTGAATAATGTCGCTAAATTCATCAAAATACCTAGTATCGGAAGGTGCCGTTATATGGAGGCTATACGACAATTTTCTGTCTTTGGCTGTAGTATCCATTACGAACTTCAAATGCCAAATTTGAAACCATTCCTGTGAATAATGTCGCTAAAAATACCTTATATTGGAAGGTACCGTTATATGGGGGCCATACAAAGACCTGGACCTGGGCCCACAGACAATTTTCGGTCACAGGCTGTAGTATCCATTACGAATTTCATACCAAAAGTCCTGCAGTCATAATATACAATTGAGTAGAATTTTATCAATCTACTTTATTTCGTTTGGAAACTAGAGTCATTTCCACAGAAGGACAAATGGACAGACATCGCTAAATCGACATAGAATTTTATGCTGATCAAGAATATATATACTTTGTGGGCTCTAAAATGTATATTTCGTGGTGTTACAAACAGAATGACAAGTTTAATATACTCTCCATACTATGGTGGAGGGTATAACAACACATTAAGGACAATTCTTATTTACTTTCTTTACACCACTTGAGGTCAATAAAAGCAATTAAGTGAAGCTGTAATTATTTGTTTTTGGTAGTTAAAAATCGGAATTAGTCACAGAATTCTATTATTTACGTTGTTTTAAAGCTACTGACTTATATCCACAAAAAAAAAAGAAAAGAAAATAAAATATTGAATAAATACCTCGGCCATGCTGCATGTAGGTCTTCGGGCACCATAACGTCCCACGGGCGATATTTGTGTTATTTGTGATGCCAAATTTGGTGTAGCCTCTAGATGGCGTTGCATTCGTTTCTTGTTATTCTCCTCACCCAGATAAGTAGCACCAAAGAGTTGAGTGTTAGGGCTTTGGTTTATTAGTTTTATTCGTAGTTTCAGATTAATATTTGTTGTTGTTGTAGTTTGTGTTAGTTAAGACGTTTATATATGACGAATTACATATGCATGATGGGTTTATATAGTTTTTACATGAAATAAATGAAAGAGAAAATATTAAAAAAAAAAAAATAAATATTAGTTAAAGTCAGTAACACACATACGGTAGTTATATTTATTTAATATTTTTTATGAATATTTAGGAAGTCGGAAGATTTTGCATTTAATATTATAGGTTTTAATAAAATGTTTTTTTTTTTCACCAAAACAAGATCGATTGGTGAACTGCGCTTTCAAATTATATATAGATTACAAATATAGATTGGTAGTACGACACGTTTGATTGCACCGTCCGACAAACTACATCACAGAAAAACTCCAGTCGATTGTGAAAGAAGAGGTTAGGATCGTTAGGATCAGCAAAATTTCGGTGGGTATATTAATATGGAAATCTTGGACCAAAATGGACAATATGTTTTGGACACCGGTTTTAGAATCCATTATAAACTATAAATACCAAATTTGAAAGAAGTCGTATAGAAAATGTATATCTGAATATCTGCAGCTACCGTAATATGTTCATAATACCGAATATAGGAATATGTATATATTATGTATGTGTGAAATTTGAAGAGAGTTGTATGCTTATTTCGCCTTATTTAGGCGTTTTTCCAAAATCTTGAATCCTTTATGGGGGAGGTACCAGAAGAAATGGTCCGATCTCTAACATCTTTATAACAGATCTTGTGTTCATGGAAATATTGAGATGCGCCAATTTTGAATAAAATCGAATGTTTTATGAGCTTCATGGATATTCAAAATTTTTACCCTTTTTGGGGGAGGTACCAGAAGGAATAAATAACAGATCAGAAATGTTGAAATGTCTGAATGGAATCGTATGTTAATTTCTGGTTTTATGAGCTTCATGAACATTCAAAATTATGTCCGTTTGTCGGGGAGTGGACTGATATGATTCATCTTCACACCAGACCTTGGGTTAATAAGAATATTGTGGGGTGTGTAATTTGAAGACAATCGGACTCTTACATAATATTTTATAGGAGTTATAATTGTTCCAAATTTAGACCCTTTGTGTAGGAGGTACTAAAGGGTGATTTTTTTGAGGTTAGGATTTTCATGCATTAGTATTTGACAGATCACGTGGGATTTCAGACATGGTGTCAAAGAGAAAGATGCTCAGTATGCATTGACATTTCATCATGAATAGACTTACTAACGAGCAACGCTTGCAAATCATTGAATTTTATTACCAAAATCAGTGTTCGGTTCGAAATGTGTTTTTATCGACAAATTTTGTTCAGCGATGAGGCTCATTTCTGGTTGAATGGCTACGTAAATAAACAAAATTGCCGCATTTGGAGTGAAGAGCAACCAGAAGCCGTTCAAGAACTGCCCATGCATCCCGAAAAATGCACTGTTTGGTGTGGTTTGTACGCTGGTGGAATCATTGGACCGTATTTTTTCAAAGATGCTGTTGGACGCAACGTTACGGTGAATGGCGATCGCTATCGTTCGATGCTAACAAACTTTTTGTGGCCAAAAATGGAAGAACTGAACTTGGTTGACATGTGGTTTCAACAATATGGCGCTACATGCCACACAGCTCGCGATTCTATGGCCATTTTGAGGGAAAACTTCGGAGAACAATTCATCTCAAGAAATGGCCCGTTAAGTTGGCCACCAAGATCATGCGATTTGACGCCTTTAGACTATTTTTTGTGGGGCTACGTCAAGTCTAAAGTCTACAGAAATAAGCCAGCAACTATTCCAGCTTTGGAAGACAACATTTCCGAAGAAATTCGGGCTATTCCGGCCGAAATGCTCGAAAAAGTTGCCCAAAATTGGACTTTCCGAATGGACCACCTAAGACGCAGCCGCGGTCAACATTTAAATGAAATTATCTTCAAAAAGTAAATGTCATGGACCAATCTAACGTTTCAAATAGAGAACCGATGAGATTTTGCAAATTTTATGCGTTTTTTTTTTTAAAAAGTTATCAAGCTCTTAACAAATCACTCTTTAGATAGAGTGGTCCGATATTGTCGATTTTCGCACCTGACCTGCAAATATTTTGATTTGCAAAGTTTGAGCAAAGTTTTTTCTCTTTCTCTTTCTGTGCAATAAAATATATATATTTTATGAAAATATTGACCTTGTGGGGGAGGTTCCAGAAGGAGTAGACCTATATGGCCTATCTCCGAACTCGATCTAAGTTTGACAATAATATTATGATGTACCAAGTTTGGACCAAATCGGATTCTCCCTTTGAGAGTTATCGTGCGCACCAGCTATAGCAAGACAAATGGACGGACTGGCTGACATCGCTGGATCGTCTCCAAATGTCCTGAAAGGGATTTGCTCCAAAGAGACCCAGGGACTACAAACTTAATTTCGATGAAGCTCGTTTTGGCCGTATCAAATGATATAATCCCTCTCAAGACTGAGGGTATAAAAATGACCAAAAAACACCCTTTTGGGAACTCGCTTGAAGGTTGGAATATTGTCGAAGACATCTTTTACCTTTTTTGAAGGTTGAAATTTTGCCGAAGACACTTTATACCTATAATGCAAGCTTCAAAGAATCTTAAACCAAAAATATAAAAAAAAAAAACATGGAAAGAAGCTGTAAGTTCAGTCGGGCCGAACTTTGAATACCCTCCATCATTTGGAACGAATTTGGCAATTCTCAAAAACAATAAAATCCGATAAAAATGTTAAAATCTTAGAAAGTATTCTTATATGGGCTATACGAAGACGTGGAAGACGAAGGGGAGGCTCATCCATTACGAACATCAAAAGCAAAATTTGAAAGAATTACGTTGAATAATGTACTGAATATCGGGAGGTACCGTTATATGGGGCTCTACGAAGACGTGGACCTGCACAGACGATCTATAGTCATAGGCTGTAGCATCCACTACGAACATCAAATACCAAATTTGAAAGAATGCCGGTTAATAATGTCGCTAAAATTAACAATGAACTGAATATCGGGAGGTACCGTTATATGAGGGCTTTTCGAAAACGTCAACCTGCACAGACAATTTTCTCTCTTAGGCTGCAATATCCATTTCGAACTTCAAATGCCAAATTTGAAACAATTTCGGTGAATTACGTCGCTAAAATCATTAAAATACCGAATATCGGGAGGTTCCGTTATATGGGGGCTCTACGAAGACGTGGACCAGCACAGACAATTTTCTGTCTAAGGCTGTAGTATCTACTACAAACTTCAAATACCAAATTTGAAACAATTCCGGTGAATAATGTCGCTAAAATCATCACAATATCAAATATCAGGAGGTACCCTTATATGGGGACTATACCAAAACGTGGACCTACATGGCCCATTTTCAATACCAAAAGTCCTACAGACATAATACACATTTGAGTAAAATTTTATGAATCTACTTCAATTAGTTTGGAAGCTAGAGTGATTTCCACAGACGGATAGACGGACGGACATCGCTAAATCGACATAGAATTTCATACTGATTAAGAATATATATACTTTGTGGGGTCTAAAATGTAGATTTCGAGGTGTTACAAATGAAATGACAAACTTTACATACCCTCAATACTATGATGGAGTATATAAAAAGAAAAGGCCACTTTGCGATGTAAATTTTCAATACGCTGATACAAGTGTTTTCTATTTTTAGCTCCACTTTTACAATATATTCAGTTTTTATACCCTACACCACATGGTGGTAAGGGTATTATGTCTTTGTGCATTTGTTTGTAACATGGAGAAGGAAGCGAGATAGACCCATAGTTACTTTTGAGGACCTCCATAGAATCACTTTCTAAGTTGATTTATGCATGTCAGTCCGTCCGTCCGTCCGCCCGTCTGTCTGTCCATGTATTCTTGTGAACAAAATGCAGGTCGCATTTATTATCCGATTGAGATGAAATTTTCCAAACAACATTTGTTTGGTCCAAGGACCAACCCTATTGAAATTGGAGGTAATCGGTCAAAATTTAGAATAGCTCCCATATATATCTTCGTCCGATTTGCCTTTTATTGTGCACCAAACGTGTAATATCAGCCCGAATAGTATGGCATTTTACAAATACAACCAAATTAGGCCTGAAAATAAGTATGCCAAATTTGATCTAAATCGGTTCAGATATAGCTATAGCTCCAATATATACAGATATAGCTATAGCTCCCATATATATAGTTCATCCGATTTGTAATGTTTGTCCTCCACAGCCGTATTATGCACTCTGTAACAACAATATTTAAGGGAAATATATCAAATACAGCTCAGAAATACATTTGTTAAATTTTATGTAGATCGGTGCAGTTTTGGATATAACTCCCATATATAACTTCGTCCGATTTACTTTTTATTGTGCACCAAACGTCTAATATTTGTCCAAATGGGATGGACCTTGACCGATTGAGCCTAGAAGCTAGTATGTCAAATTCGGAAATAAAGATCTGTTCAGATATAGCTATAGCTCCCATATATACTGTTCATCTGATTTGTTATATTTGTTACCCACAGCCGTAATATGCGCTCCGTAACAACCATATTCAGGGAAATAAATCAAATACAGCTAAGAAATATCTTTGCCAAATTTAATCGAGATCGGTTCAGATTTGGATATAACTCCCATATATATCTTTATCCGATTTCAAATTAATTGTGCAGCAAATAGGCAATATAAGTCCGAATTTAAAAGATACAAATGCTTAGGGGTATTTAGTCCTTTGAACTTTAAATTATAATTATAATCATAGCGTGTATGATTGAAATCTCCCACAAATTAGGCCTGAAAATAAGTATGCCAAATTTGATCGAAACCGGTTCGGATATAGCTATAGCTCCCATATATATAGTTCATCCGATTTGTAATGTTTGTCCTCCACAGCCGTATTATGCACTCTGTAACAACAATATTTAAGGGAAATATATCAAATACAGCTCAGAAATACATTTG